TACATCAGTTAATAATACAATCTAACATTCTTATTTTCTATTAATTTCCAAATGTCTTAAATTTAGTAACCAAACTTTTTCTTGTTTCAACATCAAATACTTCCTCTCTTTTTCTCTTAATGTCTGATATCTCATATTTAAGCTAGTACAGTTCTTATTATATCAGCTAAGTAAAAACATGTTTATTACATTTATCAATGATTTTTAGCTTATATATCTCGTAATTACTTTTACATTCAACCTTTATAAACAAACCAATATTCAAATTTAACTTTTAATATTTATACTTCCAAGTTTTAAATGACCAAAGTTTTCTTTATCTCAGTTCATGACAAAATCTAGTATTCAACATACACATCTTGTCTATTTGAGTATATTCAATTTTAATTCTCACTAATAAGTCAAAACCCCAATTTTCTTCAGCCTTATTCTAGCTTTCTTTCTTTGCCAACTTACCTTCCATATCCGTGCATTTAAATCATCAAATAGATCTCCCTCTGTTATTATATATATTATTTGAGATAAAAAAAGCCATCCAGTCGCCATTTTTTTGGAAGAACTAACAAATTGTCTCTCTGTTTTTCCATCTCAATGTAGTTGTGCTGAAATGTTTATCTTCCCTTCGATCCGTTCTTGATCCTCAGGTTTCTTCTGGTTTATATAGAAAGTCTTTTCCATTTTCAGTGTTGTCAATCCCTTTTGCGGGTTTTCCGTTAATTGTGTTTGTTGGTCAGTTGAAACTTCCATCATAGTATTTGATTGTTTCACTTCTTCTATTATATTCTGTGTAGTTGATTCTTTAGTTGTAATCAAAGTTTGGGTTCGTATATCTAGGCTGACATCTTGTTCTTTTCTGTAGCTTCTTATTTCATCAGTAGTTGTCAGAATAGTTTCATAAATTGCTTTCAACATAAAGAGAATCTGTTCCTGATCTTTATCCATGTTCTCTTAATGATGTATTAAATTAAAAGCTTTACAATCAGAAAATGAAAATAATTCTGTCACTGAGTATAGAACACAGCTGGGCTTTTCACAGATGATATCTGCCAAGGTTGCAAACGTCCTATCTATATTCTGGGTTTCAAGCCAAGTCTCCTTTAGGCAATAACAAGTTGTAATATCAGGTTTAGCCACAAGATGTCGCCCATACAGTTTAAGATTTTTTTTTTAAGTCCAAAATTTTTATAAACCCTTTTTCCAATTTTACTTCTTTTTTGTAAGTAAGAACCCAAATCTTCAATAAGAATAAGAAATCTTTTAGTCCTCAAATTTTAGAAAGATAAAAATCCAGTTAGAATCAGGTGATTCTTTCAGCATTTTAAACTCCCCTGGATAGTCAGTCACCACTGTTTTTAGAAGGTGGGGTGGAATTTCCCTTCCCTCTCTCCACAGGGGGGGGGAAATACTTTGGGCAGCTTATACAGATGGAAAAAATAGTTAGGGTTGAAGAGAGGTTCAGATCTCACCCAGTCTCATCCGCGCTGCTTTATAAGTGCCTGGTGGTAAGTTTGTCTGCAACTTAGTGACAGGCTATATTTCTATGGCCGGTCTTTTGTCCGCCAGTTTGGAGGGCTGCCCCGGATTGAGCGGAAGGGCTTCTGTCCTCCCGCAATCAAGCGGGGGTCCCCTCCTTGCTCGTCGCCTTTACAGGGCAACTTTTGGCCCTTTCCAGGGTCCCCCAGCGATGCAAAATCGGACGTGGAAGACGGAGCTCGCCACCCAGCGTCTGCTTTGGCTGCGTTGGCAAACCAGAAGTTCGAAGCATTATTACCGCTTTATAAAAGCCTAGTGAGGCCACACCTGGGATACTGCAGCCAATTTTGGTCACCATTATCACAAAAAAGATGTTGAGAGTTTGGGAAAAAATTCTAGAGAAGAGCAACTAAAAGATGATCCAGGGCCTGGAGACTAAAATATTCGAAGAACGGCTGCAGGACTTGGGTTTGGCTTGTCTAAAGAAAAGAAGAAATAGGGGAGACATGATAGCAGTGTTCCAGTATCTGAGGGGCTGCCACAAGGCAGAGGGGGGTCACGTTATTCTCCAAAGCGCCAGAGGGAAGGACGAGAAACAAGGGTTGGAAACTGATCAAGGAGAGAAGCAATCTGGAATTGAGGAGAAACTTCCTTACAGTGAGGACAATTAACCAGTAGAATAGCTGGCCTCCAGAAATCATGGTCGCTCCATCACATGCGGTTTTTAAGAAGAAACTAGACAGTCACTTATCTGAGACGGTATAGTTTCTCCTGTTTGAGCAGGGGGCTGGACTGGAAGACCTCCAAGGTCCCTTTCCAGCTTCTATTCTACTCTACTCTACTCTACTCTACTCTACTCTACTCTACTCTACTCTACTCTACTCCAGTGTTTCCCAAACGTGACAATTTTAAGGCATGAGGACTTCAACTCCCAGAATGGAAGTTTTTAAGAAGAGACTGGACAGCCATTTGTCCGAAATGGTGTAGGGTTTCCTGCCCGAGCAGTGGGTTGGACTAGATGACCTCCAAGGTCCCTTCCAACTTTACTACTACTATTATAGATAGATAGATAAATAGATAGATAGATAGATAGATAGAATCAGTGGTGGGATTCAAATATGTGAACAACCGGTTCTCTGTGTGGATGCCGCTTCCAGAAGTCCATTCTGGGCCTGGGCAACAAAAAATTAGCTAGCGGTTCTGCCGAAGTGGTGCGAATCGGCTGAATCCCACCAATAGGTAGGTAGGTAGGTAGATAGAATGATAGATAGATAGATAGATAGATAGATAGATAGATAGATAGATAGATAGATAACCTTTATTGTCATAAAAACGGTGCTGCACCAGTTGAGTAGTCCTCGACTTACGACCGGTTGGGGGTCGCGGCATTAAAAAGGTTGAGAACCACTGGTTTATACTGTCATGATGTTAAAGTTTAAGGGGAGTTAAGGGTTAAGTGTGAATTTGTTTATTATATAATATTTTTAAAGTTATGTTGATTTTGTTTATTTTGTTATTAATAACCCTGTATTCTGCTCTGGGAAGTGAGGGGTGGGTTGGGGGGGGGTAAGTAGGTTAGATAATAGAATTAAAGTAAGATATAGATAGGGTAATTTATGAGAGAGGTGTTGCTTGGGCATTTCCCCGGTACAACTTTTAAATAAATAATAATAAAAAAACATAGTATGTTTCATTGTGAGCTTTTGCGTACTGATCGTTTTGGAGAGCCAATTTTTTTTTTCTAAACCGGTTTCAGTTTCCCCTTTTCCTGAAACTGTTCTTCTCCGCTTCCAAGGTTGGGTTGACCCTTCTTCCAGGCTATTGAGTGTTCCTGTATTATTTCTTCCTTGTGGCTGGTTAGTTACAACGCAGTCAGTAAACAAATAAAGTGATCGGCAGTACAGGAAATAAGGCATGAAGCGGAACACGGACCAAGGATAAAATGATAATGAATGCTTTTTCAAGGCTTGGTGTTGCTGTGTTACTTTTTTCCTTTGCCCACCTTTGTTCTATCTATGCAGATAATTGCTGGCTAGTGGAGGTGGGGCATGGATTTATCTATTTATTTATTTATTGGAAAAAAGGGGGGGGCTTGGATTTGTTTGTTTGTTTATTTGTTTACGTATTTATGCATGTATTTATTTATTTATCGGCCGCCCATCTTATCATGGGATTATTCCAAAAGCACGGCTGGGTTGCTCTGAGTTTTTTTTCCTTAGTGAGCAATTTCATCCATTGACTCTTGTCCCCAAAGGCGCGTTTTCCAAAAGGCAACTGGACTTTCTTCGGTTTTGTTTTGTTTTTTTGAGTGTTTTTTTTTTTCCTTGACAGTGTTTCGCTTCTCCTCTAAGAAGCTTCTTCTTCGGTTCTACCTTGTGTTAGAACTTCAGTGTTAGAAATGAAGAAGGTTTTTGGTTGGGAAGTCCATCTGCCATTTGGAAAAGAATGTTTGGGATGACCGTGACCTGAATGATTAAGAATGGGATGGACTGAAATAGAAATAGAAATAATAGAAATAGAAATAATAATGGAATGGTATAAAAGAGAATAATAGAAGAGATTGTAGAATAAAATAAAAGAGAAGAGAAGAGATGTGAATAGAATAGAATAGAATAGAATAGAATAGAATCATGGAATGGAATGGAATGGAATAGAATAGAATCTATCAAATAGAATAGAATTAGAATAGAATAGAATAGAATAGAATAGAATAGAATAGAATAGAATAGAATAGAATAGAATAGAATAGAATAAGTTGGAAGGGACCTTGGAGGTCATCTAGCCCAACATCCTGCTCAGGCAGGAAACCCTATATCATTTCAGACAAATGGCTGTCCAGCCTCTTCTAAAAAAACTTGTAATGGAGCACCTAAGAATAATGGAATAGAATAGAATATAGAATAGAAAATAATCATAGAATATAATAGAATAGAGTAGAAGAAACAGATAGAATAGAATAGAATAGAATAGAATAGAATAGAATAGAATAGAATAGATATTGGAACATATAGAATAGAATAGAATAGAATAGAATAGAATAGAATAGAATAGAATAGAATAGAATAGAGAAGAGAATAGATATTGGAACATATAGAATAGAATAGAAGAGAAGAGAAGAGATTAAACAGATAGAACAGAACAGAATAGAATTCTTTATTGCCAAGTGTGATTGGACACACAAGGAATTTGTCTCCCGTACAGAAGCTCTCAGTGTACATACAAACAACAAAGTAATACTGTATAATCATAGGATACCACTAATAGAAGGTAATAGAAAAGACAAGAAAGATAATAATAATAATAATACAGCCATACTACATAGCCATACTTACATCTAAATATCCTTAAATGTAAGAGAATGCTGTGGGGATTAGATAGTTAGCAGAGTGATGACAGGGGGGAAGAACACTGTGTGTCTAGTTATTTGGGCATGCAATAGACAATCTTCAACACTGCAATATGCAACAGACAGATAGCCGATCTCCATAGACATTCCCCTGACTCTCTAACTGTTCTCAATTCTGCAGTCTGGAGGACTCTCGCTGAGTGTCTACAGGCCTCCGGCCCTCCGCCCACCTGCGTTTGCGTCCTCGGCTGACAAAATGCCGCACCTAAACGGGATGGTTCCCACGCTGCTGGACAGCCTGCAGAGCCAGGTCTCCCTCCACCTCGCCTGCTCCAAGTGCAGCCAGCAAGCGAACGAGAGCACCTACCTGCTGAAGGAGGTGGACCACAACTGCATGAAGGAGATTTTGCTGGCCAGGCGCAAGGGGGCCAGAGGCTGCCATTGGCGCAAGGTGGACAGGAGACCCTCTTTCCCCAACCCGGCTTGCTACGACGTCTGCCGATATTACGTGCCCGGCTCGGGTTGCACCAAACACCACAACACCTGCACGTTCGCCTGGAGCCAGGAGGAGGTGATCGTGTGGACGTTCGAGAGGAAGTACAACGTAGAAAGACGCGTTTTGAAGTGGCTGTTGAAACAGACCCAGTCGGGCACCGGGAACACCACTGCCCAGCCTACGGATCTCAGCAACCCGGACGTAATCCTCAGTGAGTTTGGGGGTTATTTCCAGGAGATCTGCAGGACCTGTTTTTATAGCCGCCCCCAGCGGATTTGTCCCAGGGGCTCCACTCTCGACTGCAAGAATCACTGGGGCTACATTTTGGTTCACGTGATCACCGGCGGTAAGAAAAAGCAGCAATATACGGAGATTCGTCCCTGTCCGAGAAGCCACAGGCTGTTCTCGTACTGTCCTTCCGTCTCGGCTGGCAAATCCTGCCGGAATACCTCTCAGTCCTGCAGCTTTGCCCACAGCGATGTGGAGCTGGCCATCTGGAAGGCCGAGCAAAGGCAAGGTTTGGAGCGTGCTAACCTGCTGTGCCCGGCGGTGGAGCCGGCGACGGTGAGTCCGCTGGACTCTGGGCCGCAATACCAGTTCTACTGCCGGGTATGCCTGGTGACCTGCGATTCCCAGCAGAGCTTCGAGAACCACTGCTTGTCCATGGAGCACACGCAGATGATCGCCACCGACACGCTGACCGAGTGGAGTTATCGGGCCCCTCCGTACGACCCAAAGACCTTTGCTCTTTGCAAACGGTAGGCGAGACAGATTAAGAGGGTTTGCTTTTGAGACTCGGATGTTGGGATCCGAAATACGGGTAGCATTTGGACTTTGCTCCCGGTCCCTATTGACTTTGTCTAATGCAGGGGTCCCCAACCTGTGGGCCGCAACCCACTCCCGGACTGTGGCCTATTGCAGAGGTCCCCAATCTTTTGGCCACCAGGGACCGGTTCCGTGGAGAGAGGTTTTTCCGCAGAGCGGAGGGTGCGTGGTTTTGTGTGCTGCCTGCATCTCGCGGATGGGGCTTTGCTTGTTTGTGTGGACCAGTTGCTGGCATGCTGTGGCCCGGTACCGATCCACGGACAGGGGGTTGGGGACCCCTGGCTTATTGGCCACTGGGCCATGTGAGGGGCTGCCCCACCTACATAGGGTTGCTGCAAACCTTGTGGGCATTCATGGCCTCACTCGTGCGAGCATCATGGGTGTTTGTGGTCCCACTCGCACAAGCATCGTGGACATTCACGGCCCCATGCAGGAGCATTCACTACCCCACTCATACGAGCAATGGGTGTTTGTGCATGCGCACACATGCATTCACCTCCCACACAAAACCATCCCTTCCCCCCCCCCCTCCAGGCCACCAACCCCAAAAGCTTGGGGATGTCTGGTCTAATGGTCAAGCGGTTGATGAAGATGTTCAAGAGCGACGATTTGGACGAGGGGATAGTCACTAAGCTATCCATCATAAGTTGAGAACTACCGGTAATGACGCTGTGGCTTCAACGTGAATCTATGCAGGAAGCATACTTCTTAATCAGCTTCTCCTCAAAAAAAAGATGAATGGATTTATCTGTCTCCAAGCCTTTATCTCTAAATTTATTTTTGTCTCCCCCCCCCTTCCCCACCCCATGCTGCAGACCAGACATTTGCGAATACGGGCAGGATTGCGCCCTGGCGCATTCGGTCCAGGAATTGGAAGAGTGGATCCAGCGGGCCAAAATTGCGGAGAGAAAGAAGAAGACAGCCAAGGAGGACGGTCTCTTAGCTTACCAGGATCGGCTTATCACGGAGTACCAAACAAGCCACAACGAAGTCTTAATTGTAAGTTGGGGACTCTAACCTAATAACGTGGCAGGGGATCTTGCATTTTGTCGTAAGAGGGGAGAAGGAACCGCCTTCTAGACCAAGGGTCTTCAAACTTGGCAACTTGAAGACTTGTGGACGTCAACTCCCAGAATTCCTCAGCCAGCCAGGGCTGGCTGAGGAATTCTGGAAGTTGACGTCCACAAGTCTTCAAGTTGCCAAGTTTGAAGACCTCTGTTCTAGATACTTTGCTGTTGTGCTGCTCAAAATCACCGGGTAAAATTCACAGGCTTACTTTGCTTGAGGGTCTGAGCATTCAGGTATGCTGCTCCTGTGTGTGGAGGCTCAATCAATATTTTAGGGCAAAAGATCTTTCCCCTAGGCAACTGATTGCTTAAGAATTCCCTAGAGGAAAGTGTTTCCCCACTTGGAAACTTTAAGATAGGTGGACCAACTTTCCAATCCTGGGAGTTGAAGTCCACCCATCGTAAAGCATGAGGGCTGAGGAATTCTGGGAATTGAGGTCCACCCCTCTTAAAGCATGCGGGCCGAGGAATTCTGGGAGTCGAAGTCCACCCATCTAAAAGCATGCGGGCTGAGGAATTCTGGGAGTTGAAGTCCATCCATCTAAAAGCATGCGGGCTGAGGAATTCTGGGAGTTGAAGTCCACCCCTCTTAAAGCATGAGGGCTGAGGAATTCTGGGAGTTGAAGTCCACCCCTCTTAAAGCATGAGGGCTGAGGAATTCTGGGAGTTGAAGTCCATCCATCTAAAAGCATGAGGGCTGAGGAATTCTGGGAGTTGAAGTCCACCCATCGTAAAGCATGAGGGCTGAGGAATTCTGGGAGTTGAAGTCCACCCATCGTAAAGCATGAGGGCTGAGGAATTCTGGGAGTTGAAGTCCACCCATCATAAAGCATGTGGGCTGAAGGATTCTGGGAATTGAGGTCCACCCATCTTAAAGCATGCGGGCTGAGGAATTCTGGGAATTGAGGTCCACCCATCTTAAAGCATGCGGGCTGAGGAATTCTGGGAGTTGAAGTCCACCCGCCATAAAGCATGCGGGCTGAGCAATTCTGGGAGTTGAAGTCCACCCCTCTTAAAGTTGCCATGGTTGAGAAACACTGCCCTAAAGCAACACAACAGCATGCTAAGCACAGCTGCCACATGATCCCATATAATTATGGCAGGAAGATACTATTTTAACTAAACACGTCTCATGCAGGACTGGCTGGGAATGACAGGAGCTGAAATTCAACCTAGCCAAGAGTGTCCAAAGAGGAAAACTTGAGTTTCCAATATTTTTTTTCTGGCACCAATTCAGATGTTTGCTTGGAAAGTCACAAAATCAAATCTTTTCCCCACAGGGCTTTGAGATATAATTAATTAATCCTTTATAATGGAGGGAGGTGGTCACGATGACATATTTGCCATCATTATCGGTTTTAGAATTTTAATGTTCTCTGTCTATGAGATTTATTTTGTATTGCAAGGTCCACCCACATGAACTCATTGTGGCTTGCATCAGTCACCTGAGATTGACCCATTTTGCATATCGCATTAAACAGTTGATTGGATTAGAGTTTATTGTGTTCATACTTATATCTCTCATTTGACAATGCATGATTTCACAGAACACGCCAAGGTAAACCTAAATTTAGGTAGTTTTTGACTTACATCCCTTTGTTTAGCAACCTTGAAATTATAACGACATTAAGTAGAATAGAATAGAGTAGAGCTGGAAGGGAACTTGGAGGTCTTCTAGTCCAGCCTCCTGCTTAAGCAGGAGAACCTACACCATCTCAGACAGGTGATTGTCTAGTCTCTTCTTAAAAATCTCCAGTGATGGAGCACCCATGATTTCTGGAGGCAGGTTGTTCCACTGGTTAAATGTCCTCACTGTCGGGAAGTTTCTCCTTAGATCCGAGTTGCTTCTCTCCTTGATCAGTTTCCAACCATTGTTTCTTGTCCTTCCCTCTGGTGCTCTGGTGAACAACCTGACCCCCTCTTCCTTGTGGCAGCCCCTCAGATACTGGAACGCTGCTATCATGTCTCCCCTATTTCTTCTTTTCTTTAGACTAGCCAAACCCAAGTCCCGCAGCTGTTCTTCTTATGTTTTAGCCTCCGAGCCTTGGATCCTCTTAGTTGCTCTTCTCTGAATTTCTTCTAAATTCTCAACATTTTTTGGGGGGGGTGATATGATGACCAAAACTGGCTGCAGTATTCCAGGTGTGGTCTTACTAGGGCAGTGGTTCTCAACCTGTGGGTTGGGACCCCATTTGGGGTCGAACGACCATTTGGGGGTCGCCAAACAACGCAGCCCGCCATTTCCCCCCCTTTTCCTTAGCTGTGCTACTCCCTTTTATTCTGTTGGCTTTTGAAAGCCAATAGAATAGACTCTCTTGAATAGAGTCTAATTCTATTGGCTTTCAAAAGCCAATAGGAATTGTCCAGGCTGTCTCTGCCCTGCTGAGCCCGCCGAAAGTCCCATTCTGCAAACGGTGCTGCATCAGTTGAGTAGTCCTCGACTTACGACCGGTTGAGTAGTTCTCGACTTACGACCGGTTGGGGGTCGCAGCATTAAAAAGGTTGAGAACCACTGTACTAGGGTTTTATAAAGCTGTACTAATACTTGACGTGATCTTGATTCTATGCCTCTGTTTATACAACCCAGGATTGTGTTAGCTTTTTTGGCTGCTGCTGCACGCGGCTGGCTCATGGTCAGGTGATCGTCCACTAGGACTCCAAGGTCCCTCTCACAGTCGCTGTTTTTAAGCCAGGTCACACCTTCAAATGGTTGCTAAAGAAAGAGAGCCTCTCACTTATGACCGTCACTGTCTCCTTGGGGGTCATGTGATCAAAATTTGAGCACTTGGTAACCGGCATTTATTTGTGGCTGTTGCACTGTCCCCCCGGGTCATGTGATCACCACTTGTGACCTTCCCAGCTGAGTATCGACAAGCAAAGGCAATGGGGGAGCCGGATTCACGTAACAACCATCTGATTCACTTAACAACTGCGGTGATTCGCTTAACAACCGTGGCAAATGAGGTCATAACATTGGAGCAGGAGTCACTTAACAACCAATTTGTTTAGCAGTGGAAATTCTGGTCCCCGTTGTGCTCATCCGTCAAGGACTACCTGTAAAGCAGTGGTTCTCAACCTGTGGGTCGGGACCCCATTTGGGGTCGAACGACCATTTCACGGGGGTCGCCAAACAACGCAGTCCGCCATTTTTTCCCCCCTTTTCCTTAGCTGTGCTACTCCCTTTTATTCTATTGGCTTTTGAAAGCCAATAGAATAGACTCTCTTGAATAGAGTCTAATTCTATTGGCTTTCAAAAGCCAATAGGAATTGTCCAGGCTGTCTCTGCCCTGCTGAGCCTGCCAAAAGTCCCATTCTGCAAACGGTGCTGCACCCGTTGAGTAGTCCTCGACTTACGACCGGTTGAGTAGTCTTCGACTTACGACCGGCTGGGGGTCACGGCGTTAAAAAGGTTGAGAACCACTGCTGTAAAGCATAGAATGACGTTGTACAGGTGGGTGATTAGGGGAAAAACCCAAGGCTGCCTTCAGATGAAAGCTACAAATTCAGATTAAACACTGGTAAAATTTAGATTTTGAGCTCTGCCCAACAATGTTGCAGCTGTGGATTAGAACTCAGTGCAATGTCGCGATTGAGATGGACAGTTGAGAATTACGGTCCTGAACCTGGGATGAAATAAAACATGATCCCTTCCTTGGTTCTCCTGCCTTACTTTGTGACCCTCAGATGTCGGAGGCCGTGGAAGGAGTGAGGGTGATGTGCCAGCAGCCACTACGGATCCAGTCTGAGAACAAGAAGTTGCAGTATCAGTGGGTCTTCACCGTCCATTCCCAGGTGAGCTGGCAAGGCAAAATACTCATACACTTTTAGGGAAGGGACCTGTTTCTCCTTCGATGGGGCTCCTGGATTCTGCCCGGCTGCGTTGCCTGCAAAAGAGAACTTGCGCGCCGATTGCTGGGCACATGCCGCATGGTGAGTGCTGTCCTCATCCATGATTTGCTAAATGCACAGCGGTTGGCTGGATGTGCACAGAATGCAAGCATCCAGGCAGGGAGGGAGGGAGGAATGAGAGGAAGGTAGCAAGGAAGGAAGGGAGATGGAAAGAAGGAACTAGACAGAGAAGGGAGGGAGGAAGGAAGGAAGCAAGGAAGAAAAGGAGGTGGAAAGAAGGAACTAGAGAGAGAAGGGAGGGAGGGTGAAAGGAAGGAAGCAAGGAAGGAAGGAGAGATGGAAAGAAGGAACTAGAGAGAGAAGGGAGGGAGAAAGGAAGGAAGGAAGGAAGAAAAGGAAGTGGAAAGAAGGAACTAGAGAGAAGGGAGGGAGAAAGGAAAGAAGGGAGATGGAAAGAAGGAACTAGACAGAGAAGGGAGGGAGGAAGGAAGGAAGCAAGGAAGAAAAGGAGGTGGAAAGAAGGAACTAGAGAGAGGGAGAGGAAGGAAGGAGAGATGGAAAGAAGGAATTAGAGAGAAGAGAGGGAGGAAGGAAGGGAGATGGAAAGAAGGAACTAGAGAGGAAGAAAGGAAAGAAGCAAGGAAGGAATGAGAGATGGAAAGAAGGAACTAGAGAGAAGAGAGGGAGAAAAGAAGGAAGAGATGGAAAGAAGGAACTAGAGAGAGAAGAGAGGGAGAAAGGAAGGAAGGAGAGATGGAAAGAAGGAACTAGAGAGAAGAGAGGGAGAAAGGAAGGAAGGAAGAAGAGATGGAAAGAAGGAACTAAAGAGGGAGAAAGGAAGGGAGATGGAAAGAAGGAACTAGACAGAGAAGGGAGGGAGGAAGGAAGGAAGCAAGGAAGAAAAGGAGGTGGAAAGAAGGAACTAGAGAGAGGGAGAGGAAGGAAGGAGAGATGGAAAGAAGGAATTAGAGAGAAGAGAGGGAGGAAGGAAGGGAGATGGAAAGAAGGAACTAGAGAGAGGGAGAAAGGAAAGAAGCAAGGAAGGAATGAGAGATGGAAAGAAGGAACTAGAGAGAAGAGAGGGAGAAAAGAAGGAAGAGATGGAAAGAAGGAACTAGAGAGAGAAGAGAGGGAGAAAGGAAGGAAGGAGAGATGGAAAGAAGGAACTAAAGAGAGGGAGAAAGGAAGGAAGAGACGGAAAGAAGGAACTAGAGAGAAGAGAGGGAGAAAGGAAGGAAGGGAGATTGAAAGAAGGAACTAGAGAGAAGGGAGGAAGGAAGGAATGAGGGAGGGGAGAGGAGAAGGGAGGAAGGATGGAAAGAAGCAACTGGAGAGAGGAGGGAGTGAGGAAGGAAGGAAAGAAGGGAGGAAGGAAAACCCACCTTCCTTTGAAGAATTTGGAAGGGATCTTGGAGGAGACCATATGCCCTCCCTCCTTCCCTTCCTCCCTCCAAACTCTGCAGGGTTTCCCTTCGCCCCCTCTTAGATACCAAGAAGAATCAAGGTGGGGTCATCTTGAGTTTCTTTCTCACCTCCTTTTCCTTCCTATGGCTGAGCAGAGGTTTATCTGACCGCTCTTTCGTTTCCATCTCAAGATATTCCCTCGGACATCCCGGCTCTGATTTCCCTTGTTTGACTTTCCCTACGTTTTCCCTCTCTTCCAATTTCAGAAGCCCTTGATTCACGTGGCCCTATTAAAGAGAACCCCAGGAGCCAGCTTCCACCTAGCCGTGCCGGGACAGACTCCGCTTCTCACCTACGCATCTGGAGCGAGCTTCAAAACCGTGCGGACCTCTCCCCCCGCGGTCGAGGTGAAAGTCGGCTTGAAGAGTCACACCTTCGGGGTCTACGAGCAGTGGCTGGTCTTTGATTTCGGCAGCCGGCCTGTCTTGGTCCAAAAGCTCTACGTCCGGCTGGGTCAGAAGGAAGCGGCTTGGCGGGTGGATCCGGCCAACGGGTCTGGGAGCTGCTTCGTGCAGAGCGGACGCGGGCACACCGGGAACCGTGTGGTGGTGCCCAGCGTGAGTCGCACGGGCAAGGATGTGGAACTGTCGGCTAAGTACAAGGCCCCCTCCCTCTCGATGGACTTTCAGCGTGGGGCCCGTGGGAAGCCCATCACCTGCGTCAACTACCGTGAAGAAATGCACAACTTCCTGGTCCGAGAAGAAGAAGCTCAACAGCTTTTGATTTCCAAGTAAGCGGAGCTCAACCAAATCAAGACTGGTGGGATAATGTGGACTTCAAAACTCTCCCCCAAACCAAAAGAATTTCCCTGATTTTATTTAATCCCAGAGAGGAAGAAACAAGTTCTTTGCAATAGCAATACAGGAGATTATTTGCCATATTTCCAAAATAGTAATAGCGCTTTAGATTTATATACCGCTTCACAGTGCTTTACTGCCCTCTCTAAGCAGTTTACAGAGTAAGCATATTTGCTCCCCAACAATCTGGGTCCTCATTTTACCGACCTCGGAAGGATGGTAGGCTGAGTCAACCGTGAGCTGGTCAGGATCGAACTGATGGCAGTCGGCAGAATTAGCCTGCCATGCTGCATTCTAACCACTGCGCCACCATGGCAGTAGAATAGAAAAGAACGGAACAGAACGAAATAGCAATGGCACTAATAATAGCTTTTAGATCAACCTTTTTAATGCCGAGACACCCCCCCCCCACCGGTCGTAAGTCGAGGTCTACTCAACCAGTTGTAAGTCAAGGACTACTCAACTGGTGCAGCACCGTTTGCAGAATGGGACTTTTGGCAGGCTCAGCAGGGCAGAGACAGCCTAGACAATAGGACAATTCCTACTGGCTTTTGAAAGCCAATAGAATTAGACTCTATTCAAGAGAGTCTATACTATTGGCTTTCAAAAGCCAATAGAATAAAAGGGAGTAGCAAAGCTAAGGAAAAGGGGGAAAAAATGGCGGACTGCGTTGTTTGGCGACCCCCAAATGGGGTCCCGACCCACAGGTTGAGAACCACTGTTTTAGACTTATATACTGCTTCATAGTGCTTTAATCACTCTCTGGGTGGTTTACAATATCGGCATATTTACCCCCAACAATCCGGGTCCTCTTTTTTTCCAACCTCAGAAGGATGGAAGGCTGAGTCAACTTTGAACTGGTCAGGATCGAACTCCCGGCAGAGGGCAGAGCTAGCCTGCAATACTGCATTCTAATCACTGCGCCACTAATACAAGTGAATGCTTAAAGTTCCTTTAACGTGCCTGAAGATGTAAAGACTACAGGGTCCCAAATTGCTAGCTGGGGAACCCACCATCTCCTGGTGATTGGCCCAAATCACCAGCTGGTTTTCATGCTTAAGTTAGAACTAGAATTCACCGTCTCCTGGTGATTGGCCAAAAGTCATTTAGTCAGCTTTCGTGCCTAAGAGGAGACTAGAACTCACCATCTCCTGGTGATTGGTCCAAAGTCACCCAGCCCGCTTTTTGTGCCTAAGGCAGAACTAGAACTCACCGTCTCCTGGTTTCTAGTCTGGTGCCTTCACCACTAGATCAAAGTGGGTCTCTTGAATTGCTGGAGAGAGCTGCCAACACAATCTCCTCATATCTCTTGATTGTTTACATTGACCTCCCATTGTCCAGCCTCTCCAAAATGTCTTTGTCATGTAGGTTGGGGGTAATGAGAGCTATGGTCAAACATTTCCAGAAGGGATGGCACCAGGCCAAAGAGAGAGAAGCATCTTAAGATCTAGAATGCCCATCCATTTTGGAGGGTGAGGACATTACAGGGAGAATATGGGTAGCATGGGCATTGTCCCAGTTCAGGGGTAGGCAACCTTGACTCTTTTATGACTGGTGGACTTCAACTCCCAGAATTCCTGAGCCAGCCATGCTGAGGGGAAAGGGAGAGGTTTCCAAGCTGAGCCATGCTGGCTCAGGAATTCTGGGAGTTGAAGTCCACCAGTCATGAAGGGGCCATAGTTCCCCTATGCTGGCTCAGGAATTCTGGGAGTTGAAGTCCACGAGTCATAAAAGAGCCAAGGTTGAAGACCCCTGGTTTAAATAAAGAAGAGGGAATTAAGCTATTTTCCAAAGCACCTGAAGGCAGGACAAGAAGCAACGGGTGGAAACTAATCAAGGAGAGAAGCAACCTAGAACTAAGGAGAAACTTCCTGAGAGTGAGAACAATTAATCAGTGGAACAGCCTGCCTCCAGAAGCAGTAAATGCTCCAACACTGGAAGTTTTTAAGAAGAGACTGGACAGCCACTTGTCCGAAAAGGTGTAGGGTTTCCTGCCCGAGCAGGGGGTTGAACTAGATGACCTCCAAGGTGCCTTCCAACTTTACTACTATTACTATTACTAATATTTTTTCCTCACGATCACGTGATCAAAATTCAGGCATTTGGGCAGGGGTAGGCAACCTTGGCTCTTTTATGACTCGTGGACTTCAACTCCCAGAATTCCTGAGCCAGACATGCTGAGGGGAAAGGGAGAGGTTTCCAAGCTGAGCCGTGCTGGCTCAGGAATTCTGGGAGTTGAAGTCCACGAGTCATACAAGAGCCAAGTTTGAAGAGCCCTATTCTATCTAGTGCAGGAGTAGGCAACCTTGGCTCTTTTATGACTTGTGGACTTCAACTCCCAGAATTCCTGAGCCAGCCATGCTGAGGGGAAAGGGAGAGATTTCCAAGCTGAGCCATGCTGGCTCAGGAATTCTGGGAGTTGAAGTCCATGAGTCATAAAAGAGCCAAGGTTGCCAACCCCTGTCCCAGTTGCTGTATCTTTTCCTCCTGTCCCCAATTCTTCTGCTCATCTTCCCATGTCTGATCTTCTTCTTCTGATCCAGGCTCAACTTGCATGCGGTGGTCTCTTTCGTAAAGTGTGTGGAAGTCTTACCATCGGGGTTGAAGTTTGCTCCCCCAGGACAGCTCTACGCCCAGGTCCCGACCCCTTACTCATTGACCATGGACTCTGACGCAGGATACCTGCTTCAACGTTCAGTCAGAACAGCCTTCCTGGCCCAGGATCCACCTGCCAACAACCGAGTTTATGAAGTCTCCATCGAGAAAGAAGGACTCACTGAAAGGAACGTCTGTCTTCTCCTTCCCCAACGTTGCTGCATGGAGCTGGGCCTCCAACCAGACACGCGTGCCAAGATGGAAGTCCAGTTCCAAACCGACCAGCTCCAGTTCTGTCAATGGCACCAGGCTGTGGACAACTTGTGGGATGTGAAGCTGGTCTTTCCAGATGTGACCATCTGCTCCATCCCACATGGTTCTTTGCAGGTGCCCTGGGGGAATGCGAAGCAGAAGCAAGCTCTTTTCTTCATTACTGGCCAGGTGACCAAAGTCCGTAGAACTCCACCACTTTTGATCTATGGACCGTTTGGGACTGGGAAGACCTTCACGTTGGCCAAGACTACCCTGGAGATCATCAAGAAGCCCCAGACTCGTGTCCTTATCTGCACCCACACCAACAGGTAATCTTGGTTTGAAGTTTCATTAGCCTTGGGCTGCTGGAGAGAAGTAAATATTTTGGTGTCTTCACAGGGTCGAGATTATTTTAGGGACACTGTTATATTTGATAGCTGAGTTTACGCAATGTGTGAACAAGATCCAGGGAAGTCCAGGAAGCTAAACTCAACAGTAGTGTTAGGTGAAAGAAATCAGGAACCAGGATAGAGTTCAAAAATACTACAAGTTTTAGGTCACCATGATATAAAAAAGATGTCAAGACTCTAGAAAGAGAGTAGAGAAGAGCAACAAAGATAACCAGGGGACTGGAGGCTAAAACATATAAGGAACGATTGCTGGAATTGGGTATGTCTAGTTTAACGAAGAGAAGGACGAGGGGGGACAGGATAGCAGTCTTCCAATATTTGAGAGGCTGCCACAAAGAGGACGGGGTCCACCTATTCTCCAAAGCACCTGAAGGCTGAACAAAAAGCAGTGGATGAAAATTAATCCAGGAGCGAACCAACCTAGAACTAAGGAGAGATTTCCAGACAGTTAGAAAAATTAATCAGTGGAACAGCTTGCATAGAATGGAATGGAATAGAATATAGAATGGAATAGAATGCAGAATAGAGTAGAGTATAGAGCAGAGTAGAGTAGTATAGAGTAGAGTAAAGTAGAGTAGAGTAGAAATAGAAATATAGAATAGAATAGAATAGAAATATAGAATTGAATAGGAATAGAATAGAAATATAGAATAGAATAGAAATATAGAATTGAATAGGAATAGAATAGAAATATAGAATAGAATAGAAATATAGAATTGAATAGGAATAGAATAGAAATATAAAATAGAATAGAAATATAGAATTGAATAGGAATAGAATAGAAATATAGAATTGAATAGAAATATAGAATTGAATAGGAATAGAATAGAAATATAGAATAGAATAGAGTAGAGTAGAAATAGAATAGAATAGAATAGAATAGAGTAGGAATAAAATAGAAATATAGAATAGAATAGGAATGATGATGATGATGATGATGATGAATAGGAAGGGACCTTGGAGGTCATCTAGCCCAACTCCCTGCTCTTATAGAATTGAATAAGAATAGGAATAGGAATGGAACGGAACGGAACAGAACAACAGAATTGGAAGGGACCTTGGAGGTCTTCTAGTCCAACCCCTTGTTTGGATGCATAAGAGATTCTAAGCTGCGTTTGACCCCACCCTTGGGCTCAGTCTGGTCATCTCCTAATTAGCTTGTTAGCAATGTTTTAAGGCTTCGTCTAAATGTAGCCCGTTGAGCTCAATGTTTTGTACAAGAAACAAACATATTGCTGATCTGAAGTGGTGTTTCTCAACCTCGGCAACTTCAATATGTGCAGACTTAGACCCCCCACATGACTGGCTGGAGAATTCTGGGAGCTGAAGTCCAGACATCTTAAAATGATCAAGGATGAGAAATCGTGATCTAGAGTATTATGCAAAAGTAGTCTTTGTGCAATTTTTTAATCTCAAAATGTCAGCACTCCACTCTGGTTATTCCATGAGATAAAGAGGAGAGAATTATTTCTTGAGTTTGTTAGCTGCCCCGTTCCAGAGGATTCTGGGTAGTTTTATCAAATTAATACCACAGTATGGTAGGAAATATAAGTTGTCCTCGGGTTACGTCCATTTGTTCTGCGACTGTTCAAAGTTATGGTTCTGAATGAGGGAAACTTACAATGGGTCCTCAGATGTTGTGGCTGTCACAGTGCCCCTGCAGACATGCGATTTGCAATCCTGTTGGTTTTCCACAGGCAAAAACAATGGGAAAGCCAGCAGGAAGTCACAAGCTGCTCCCATAAGTTGCCTCTACCGCTTTTTCCCTAAAAAAGCTTCTTGGTGTCAGGGGGATCTCATTCTTTGTAACACCCACTTGAAGTTCTTGTCTGCTGGCTGGCTGGATTGCTTGCAAATAATCTTGTGAGCACAACTTGGCGATTTCCTACTGGCTTCCCCAATGACTTTGCTTATGGGAAGCCGACAGAAAGGCACAAGTCGCGGACATGTGAGATCCTCACTTAATGATCTGTGCTGCTTGCATAATGATGGTAAGGGAGACTGCCAAAATTGCCGGCACCAAGCAGTGTGGTTATGTGATGTCTTGCTTTATGACTGTATCACTTAGTGATGGAAATTCTGTTCCCAATTTACCATTGTACCCCAAAAACAATTTTGGGTTTAAAAAGAGCAATGGTAGAGGAAGTAATTTGTCGGAACAGCAATTCTTATTACTTAATTTCAGTTTTAGCTTTCTTAAGGGGGTTGAAAAAGATAAGATGGCAGCTAAGATTTAAACCCCCCCCCTTTTCACAAGTGTGGCACATATAACTCAGTTAAACAAAGGGTGGGATTTAATTGCACAATTGGGGCTGCCATTTTAATTCGCTTTGAGTTAAAATCCCCGTTCTTCCTTAGAGGGATATAAAATTAACCAGGAACTCATGTGTCTAATGAAGAATTTCGGGGAGATATGCAGAAATGCGACGACCCCTGTTACGCTGCTTTTCTCTTCCAGTGCGGCTGACATCTACATTCGCGAATACTTCCATAACTATGCCATCTCGTCACACCCTGAGGCTATTCCGTTAAGGGTGAAATCCACGTACCGTTCGGTCAAAGCAACCGACCCCATTACCCTTCGCTACTGCTGTCTCTCTCCGAGTGGGGAAGAGTTTTGCCTTCCTACTAAAGAACAGATCGATCGGCACCGCATTGTCCTCACGACCTGCATGACCTCGCGCGATCTTGGGTTGTCGCCCGGCTATTTCACCCACATCTTGATTGATGAGGCTGCCCAGATGTTGGAGTGCGAAGCACTAGTCCCTCTCTCTCTGGCTACCCTGAGAACCTTGATCGTCCTGGCGGGGGACCACATGCAGAAGACCCCCAGGTTCTACTCCTTGCACAAGGACGAGCAGTCCGCCGACTACACCCTGCTGAATCGCCTCTTCCAACATTACAAGAAGGAGCAGCATGAAGTGGCCACCAAAAGCAGGATCATCTTCAACGAGAACTATCGCTCCACTGCAGGAATCATTGAGTTTGTCTCCAAACACTTCTACGTGGGCAGAGAAGATACCATCCGCGCCAAAGGCAACATCCCTCCTCACCCGGAGTTCTATCCGCTCATGTTTTGTCACGTCTCCGGAAGTGCGGAGAAGGACAGATCCATGAGCTGGTACAACATCTCTGAAGTTGAACAGATCGTCGAGAAGGTAGAAGAAATGAATCAGAAATGGCCGGCTGAATGGGGGCAGAAGGACCTCAAGTCCATCTGCGTGGTCTCTTCTGGCATACAGGTGAGGTGTCAAAGGCGGGTGTTGTTCTTACATTGTCCATCACAGGGAATCTTCAACTTATGACCACAATTGAGCCCAACATTTCTGTGGCTAACTGCTCTCTCTCGCTCTCGCTCTCTAGCTATCTCTCTCTCTCTAGCTATCTAGCTATCTCTCTCTCTTTCTCTCTCTCTCTCTAGCTATCTCTCTCTCTCTTTTTCTCTCTCTGTCTAGCTATCTCTCTCTCTGTCTAGCTATCTCTCTCTCTCTCTCTCTAGCTATCTCTCTCTCTCTCTCTAGTTATCTCTCTCTCTCTCTCTCTCTCTCTCTGTCTCTCTCTCTCTCTCTCTCTCTCCTGCTAATGTGCCCCGAAACTGGTATTTCGGGGAGATATACTGCACTTGGCTCAGAGGTCACATGGAATCTCCAAATAGCCATGGATAATCCTGTTTGTCAGGAATTCCTTGAGTCCTCTTTTAAAAGGTTTAAAGACGGCCAGTTTGGCCTAATGGTGAAGGTGCTGGCCTAGAAATGAGAAGATGATGAGTTCTAGTTCCACCTTAGGTAGGAAAACTGGCTGGGTGGACTTTGGGCCAATCATCAGGAGACTGGGAGTTCTAGTCCTGCCTTAGGCATGAAAGCCGACTGGGTGACTTTGGGCCAATCACCAGGAGACAGTGAGTTCTAGTCCCACCTTAGGTATGAAAGCCAGCTAGGTGACTTTGGGCCAGTCACCAGGAGATGAGGAATTCTAGTCTTGTCTTAGGCATGAAAGCCATTGGATGACTTTGGGCCAATCCTTCTCTCTCAACCCAACCTACCTCACAAGGTTGTCGTAGGGAAAATAACAGTTGGAAGAGGAAGGAGGATTATGCACGCCTTCTTGAGTTACTTTTAAAGTAACATTGAAGGCATAAAAATATAATGAACAAGGAAATAGCCTCCAAATGAGAGGCTGTCACCAAGCCTTGCAGCCATGAGTTCTCCAGGTTAAGTTGATGCCCTTCCTTCAGACTGGCTCCCCATTGGGGGAAGTCTGATGAATGTCAGCCCAGAATGCCATGCTTTGTTGAGCTAGGCAGAGGTGGGGAATTACTGTATGTCTTGTGGACTTCAACTCCCAGAATTCCTGAGCCAGCAGGTTATAAAAGGGCCATATTTCCCCACCCCTGAGTTAGAGGCTCAACCATTGAGTCATTCTGTCCCCAAGGCACATTTTTAATGCTTAAGGCAGTGGTTCTCAACCTGTGGGTCGGGACCCCATTTGGGGTCGAACGACCATTTCACGGGTGGTCGCCAAACAACGCAGTCCGCCATTTTTTCCCCCCCTTTTCCTTAGCTGCGCTACTCCCTTTTATTCTATTGGCTTTTGAAAGCCAATAGAATAGACCAGTGGTTCTCAACCTTTCTAATGCCGCGACCCCATGATACAGTTCCCCATGTTGTGGTGACCCCCAACCACTTATACATCACCGGGTATTGGGGGCGTGGCCAAAGAAAAGAGGAAAAAAATGGTGGACAGCCTTGTTTGGCGACCCCCGTGAAATGGTCGTTCGACCCCAAATGGGGTCCTGACCCACAGTTTGAGAACCACTGGAATAGACTCTCTTGAATAGAGTCTAATTCTATTGGCTTTCAAAAGCCAATAGGAATTGTCCAGGCTGTCTCTGCCCTGCTGAGCCCACCAAAAGTCCCATTCTACAAACGGTGCTGCACCAGTTGAGTAGTCCCCGACTTACGACCGGTTGAGTAGTCCTCCACTTACGACCGGTTGGGGGTCGCGGCATTAAAAAGGTTGAGAACCACTGGCTTAAGGCTTTTAACAGTTTTACCCTTTGAAGCCAGCCCAGAGAGGACCCATTCGAGATGAAAACAGACCAAGTCTAAATCCACAAACAAAAGAACATGCTGATAACTTGGATTTTTTTTTCCCCAGGTGAAATTTATCCGAGACAGGTTGAGAAAAAGAGGCTTTTCAGAGGTGACTGTGGAGAACGATGACAACCTACCAGGTAAGATTCCTGTTCCAATTTTACCTGTCCTTTACAAGAAGGTGTTAGACCAGTGGTTCTCAACCTGTGGGTTGGGACCCCATTTGGGGTCGAACGACCATTTCACGGGGGTCGCCAAACAACGCGATCCGCCATTTTTTCCCCCTTTTCCTTAGCTGTGCTACTCCCTTTTATTCTATTGGCTTTTGAAAGCCAATAGAATAGACTCTCTTGAATAGAGTCTAATTCTATTGGCTTTCAAAAGCCAATAGGAATTGTCCAGGCTGTCTCTGCCCTGCTGAGCCCGCCAAAAGTCCCATTCTGCAAACGGTGCTGCACCAGTTGAGTAGTCCTCGACTTACGACCGGTTGGGGGTTGTGGCATTAAAAAGGTTGAGAACCACTGTGTTAGAATGACCTGAAAAGCGGGCCTCTTAAACTCTCAAAAGCAGGGTTTCTGAAACTTGGCAAAAATCACAGCCCTGCAGGCTAACCTTTCTCCAAAGGGATAGTCTCTGGATTGGTGGGACTAGGTTATCTATTGTCCCCAGCCAACCTGGCTGTGTTGATTTCAGATGACTTGAGAACCCCAGGCCGTGCATCAGGGGCTCCAAGCAGGGGAAGACTGCAGTGAAATATTTTCAAGTAAAAAGTAGTCCTCGATTTACGATTGGTCACTTGGCAACTGTTCAGAGTTACACTGGATCTACTAGGGCAGGGCTTTTCAACCTTTTCACCCATTGTACCACTTTTAGGATATGGCAACATCTGAGGACCACCAGTCGCCTAGCAAGGTGTCAAAAACATGATGACCCTCCCCCCCAAAAAGGAAAAAAGCGATAAAGTACAGGTAGTCCTCGACTTACGACAGTTCGCTTAGTGACTGTTCGAAATTACAATGGCACCCCCCAAGGCACAGCCGAGCAAGACACTAGCCTGCCCACCTGGCCACACTCTTCCTTCTGTCCGAGGTTTTCATGGTTGTGAGCATTTCTGTTGAGGATTGGTAGCTGGGGTGGGATGGGGGGCTTGATTTTTATTCCCCCCGTCTGCTGGCTGGTTGCAGCAGGTTTTGGTCACTTCACATGACCCTGAGACACTGTGACCGTCATAAATTTAAATCAGTTGCCAAGCCTCTGAATGTAAATCACAAGACCCTGGAGAGGCTGCAATATTCCAGCTGATCGGCACTTCTTCTGGGCTCAGCAAAAGCACCAGGATCAGCGCCGAGCTCCAGCTGGAGTCTGGCGCTGATCCTGGTACTTCCACTGAGCCCTGACAGTCCCGAAGAAATGCTGATCAGTTGGAAAGCGGCACTGATCCTGTCGCTTCCGCTGAGTCCCGACAGCCCTGAAGCTCCAGCCGTCTCTTGCTCAGGTTTGTGCGGTGCTGCCACCGGTTCAGCTCATTCCCCTCCCCCGCTACCACTTTTCTAGGATGGTCACATACCACCTGCCAGGTGCCAATGTACCACAGGTGGTACCCGTACCACTGGTTGAAAAGCCCTGTACTAGGGCTACTTACAAACTGGATTCACAGTGGCGATGGCTACTTGTCTCTTTCCTTACGTCTCACTTCATTGTATTTTGGGTGCTCTGCAACTGGAGCTCATTTGGAATTGTTTGCAGAGTTCTCGGGAAAGAATGAATGGAATGAGATTCTTTATTGACCAAGTGTAATTACGCAGACAAGGAATTTGTCTCTGGTGCATAAGCTCTCAGTGTACATATAAACAACAAAGTGATAGATCATAGGTCAGTGGTGGCGAACCTATGGCACGGGTGCCAGAGGCGGCACTCAGAGCCCTCTCTATGGGGCATGCAAGCCATCGCCCCAGTTCTAGGCCTTCAGCTGGGTTTTATAAAACCTTTTCGCTTTAGGCCTCCGCTGCTGTGTGCAAAAAAAAAAAAAAAAAGTCCGATCAGTCAATTTCAACTTCTTGGGGGGAGGGAAGATCTTGCAAAGTTGGAACTGATTGATTGAACTTTCTAGTCCCACCCAGTCTGCCGTTACCACTGCAGCCACGCCCAGCCAATGGGCCACACCCCCAATTGGCCACACCCAGCCAATGGGCCACACCCACCCGGCACTCCACGATGCATAAGTGGGTTTTGGATTGCAGTTTGGGCACTCGGTCTCTAAAAGATTTGCCATCACTGTCCTAGATCATAAATCATAATTACAATCATAAACCATAAGATACAAACAACAAGGGATAAATGATAAGATATCAATAGGAGAAGGTAGTAGGGAAAATGAGAAGGATAATAATAATACAGCCCTACTACATGGGTAAATATCTTTAGGTCTAAGACAGTGCTGTGGGAATTAAGTGTTCAGCAGAGTGATGGTGTCTAGTTGTTTTGGCATGCAATGCCCTACAGCAGCGTCCAGAGGGGAGGAGTTGAAACAGTTTATGTCCAGGATGTGAGGGGTGTGTGTGTAGATCAGTGGTTCTCAACCTGTGGGTCAGGACCCCATTTGGGGTCGAACAACCATTTCACGGGGGTCGCCAAACAAGGCTGTCCGCCATTTTTTCCCCCCTTTTCTTTGGCCACGCCCCTGGCACCCAGTGATGTATAAGTGGTTGGGGGTCACCACAACATGGGGAACTGTATTATGGGGTCGCGGCATTAGAAAGGTTGAGAACCACTGGTGTAGATATTATCTCAGCCCTCCTAACCTGCACAATTTACAGGTCCTCAATGGAAAGCAGGCTGGTTGCAGTTGATTTTTCTGCAGTCCTAACTATCCATTGAAGTCTGTACCTGTCCTGTTTGGTTGCTGTGCCAAATCGGACAGTTATAGAGAGTTGCAAACGGTGATCACATGACCTTCGGAGGCTGCAACCACTGGTGGCCAAGCAGCCGAATTTTAATCACATTATTGCGGTGAACACTGCGACAGCCTTAAATGTGATGACCACTCATCAGCCACTTTTCCCAGGGCTGTGGTATCTTCCACTGGCCGCTAAAGGAATGATTGTAAGTCGAATATCTGTGAAAGGGGGGGGGGGTTCAATAATACTTCCAATTTGGGGCAGATGTATCCATAATTTGAAATCTCTCTTTGCATCTGTAACGTTTCATTTTCTTTGCCTTTATTTTGTTAGAGGCTGTCCTTGACCTATGTCCACAACTGAGTCTAAAATTTCCATTGCTAGGCAAGACAGTTGTTAAGTGAATTTTGTCCCATTTTGCGACCTTTCTTGCCACAGTGGTCAAATGTATCACTGCAATTGTTAAGTTAGTAACTTGGTTGTAAAGTGAATCTGGCTCCCCCATTGACTTTGCTCATTAGAAGGTGGCCAAAGGTGATCACCTGACCCCGGTACACTGCAACCGTCATAAGTACATGCCAGTTGCCAGGCCTCTGAACCTTGATCACGTGACCAGGGGGATGCTGTAGTGGTCGTTAAGTGTGAAAAAGGGTCATAGGTCATGTTTTCCAGTACCACTGTGACTTCAAGTGGTCACTAAATGAACTGTTGTAAGTCGAGGATAGCCTGTATTTTATGATACTGACAAACAGGTCCACCTTCTGTTTTATGTTTTTTTTCTATAGGGCGAGAATTCCGTGTCATCATCATCAACACTATCCACACTTGCAACAGCCTCAAGCATGTCAGTTCCTCCAACCTGGAGTATTTCAACAATGCGCGGGTGTTGAACACCATCATAACCAGGGCTCAGTCGCAGGTCATCACAGTCGGAGACGCTGTCGCGCTGTGTTCTCATGGCCAGTGCAGCAAGATCTGGAAAAGTTTCATCAAGAAGTGCATTGAGAAGAAGTCCATCACTCCGGAGAACCTAACCTTGGAGGAGATAAAGCAGATGGTGTCCGATTGGGCCAGCTGGAACAGAGGAAGCTCTGACTGCGAGGAAGAAAGTAGCGATACGGACTCCTGGGTCTCCGACACAGAGAGTTTGAATCTTGATGATCCGATACTGCAGGAACTCTTGGATGAAAGCAAAGAGATGATGGTGACGGTCAATGAGGAAGGTCTGCTGAAGGTGAAGTCGAATGTCTCGGTCCCTGAAAGCAGAAGGCACGAGTATGTCAACTATTCCTCGCAAACGATGCAGCGGTATTTGCAAATGCAGCCCGACCGATACAAACGCTGCGGATTCGTCCAAGAACGGTTTGATCAAGCTTCCGCCTTCACTCTGGACGAGGTTCCTTCTGTGACCATCCAGATCAAGGGTCGACTCAACTGTGGCATGGCCTTTACTGGAGACCAGGTCTTGGTGGAGATCCTGACGCCCAACGCGACCTTCCAGGGCAACCCTCGTGGGAAAGTGGTGGGCATCTTAAAAGAAGTGGAACGGGATCTCACCTTTGTCTGCAAAGTAGATGAGTTTGATCTCCGGGTCATGATCCCCCTGGACCAGTCTGTCACAAAAATCTTTGTCCCTCCATTGAATCCTGAGGCTGATCGTGATGCTATTCCCATCCGCAAAATTGACCAGGCGGGAAATATCAAGTTGAAGGGCTGGAAAAAAATAACACCAGAAAACCGGAAGACATGCCTTTTCGTGGTACAAATCGTGAAATGGAAAGAAGGTTATTACTACCCTATGGGAATTGTTACAGAGGTCCTTCCTTTGGCTTCCTCACTAGAAGATGGGCTTCGTATTCTGGATTTGGAATATTGTTTGTCCACTGGATATCCTGCCTCGGTGACCAGCCAGGTGGCCAAATTAATCTCCCGTCACCCCTCTCTGATAAGAGAGGAGAGGAAAGACTGTCGGGCTCACTGTACTTTCACAGTTGACCCCTTGGGGACTAAAGACCTGGACGATGCCATCAGTGTCCGAGATATGGGTGACAAATATGAGATTGGGATCCATATTGCTGACGTGGCCTCAGTGATCTCCAAAGATTGTCCTTTAGATGCAGAAGCCAAGAAGCGAGGGTCAACTTATTATGCTCCTGAGAAGGAGCCCATATTTATGTTGCCACCACAACTCAGTCAAAATCTCTTCAGTCTCCTTCCTGACAAGGAACGTTTGGTGATCTCCCTCTTTGTTGTAGTGGATAAGGCCACAGACCATATGGAAAGGATTTCCTTTGCCGTGTCCATAATCTGCTCCAATCGACAGATGACTTATGAGGAAGCTGAAGAAATAATTAAGAAACACTACAAGATAGAGGCACCATCACCTCATTTTGACACCTTAGAGGATTGTGTTGCAATGGCATATCATTTCTCCCGCGTCCACCGGAAGTCCAGACTTCACGAAGACTATCATTATGACCAGTTGGATGAAGAAATTCCTTTAGGTCAGCGATGTTCTCACCAGATGATTGAGGAGTTTATGATTCTCTTCAACAGTTCTGTGGGAGATCTGCTCACAAACCAGGATCCTACAAGAAATTTAACGCCTCTTCGTTGTCAGATGGAGCCCAATCCTCAGCAAATCTCCCAAATGCAGGACAAATACAGAGAGATCATTCCTCTCTCCACCCACCTCTCTCATCATCTAAGAGTTCCAACTGGTGATATTCCCGGGAGGACCAGCCATCCCTTTGTTCTCTTGACTTCGTCGTGGGAACATCTCAAGTTAGCGGCCAATGACCGTGACTTCGCCAAGATACTTGACCTCATTACCACAGATGACATCCATCCCAAACTTGCTCCCATCAATTTAGAATTTCGGAAGCTCCTGAACCGTTCTTATTTTCTTCGTTCCAATTCCTGCCCTCAGTCCAAGATGGGCCACTACTCTTTGCACGTGGACTCGTACACCTGGGCTACCTCTCCGATTCGGCGCTACATGGATGTTGTTGTTCAGAGGCATATCATCTCTCTGATTTCGAAGAAACCCATCCAGTACTCCCAACCAGAGATTGAATTCATTTGCCATGATTTCAACCGGAAGAACAGCAGGGCCAACATGTACAAGCGAAGAGTCCAATCTTTGGAACTGGCCACCCAGTTGAAATGCCAGGTTCAAAAGAAGTTTGCTTTCATTGCCAACATTGAAGGGAAGGCCAAGAATTTCAAACTCTTGTTTCCTCTCAACAAGGAGACCTTTCCAGATAGTCCTTGCATCAATTATAGAGCCCTTCAATTGGTGTCCCAACCAGATTTTATCGAGGAGCGGAACAGTATGAAGCTGACATGGAGGAGAAGAGTTTACTCCTGGGTAGTCAAAAAGGAGGACAACAAAAAGAGGTCAGAGATTGGAGGGAACGTCTTTTGCTTCCAAGGAGATGTGTGGCATGAAATCCTTGCAGCTGTCAAAAATGAAGACTATGAGAAGTTAATCCACCTCCTGGAAAAGAATTACACCCTGGAGCCCAAATGTGTAGGGTTAATGGTGAGGAGTAAGTGCTTACACTACAAAGAACTGTCAGTGGAACTTAAAGTTGGAGATGTGCTGAATTTCCAACTGACCACCGATGTCCAACGAGGTTTCCTGGTGCCATTTGTGCAACTGTGGACAGTAGCTCCTGGCTTTGAGGTGTGCTTGGAACACACTGAGAGACCCATCGATTGCTTCTCCAAGTACACTTCCCAAGCCCCAAAGGACATTTACAAGGACGCCTCCGATTATCGCAAAGTGTGGCTGCCTCTTTGTGACATAGAAGCAACTTTGAGCGCGTTGGCTGAAAACAGCTCGATTGTCCTGCAAGACATCCCGATCCTTTGGAAGAAGCAGCGGACCAAAGAAGGTCAGCTCTGTGGAACCATCAACCTCACGAAAAAGTTCCTTAAAGAATGTAGCATCGAAGTGGATTTTGGTGCCTGCTACATGTGCATTCGCCTTTCGGGTCTCCAAGGACATGGGTTCCAGGACAAGGAAGTAGACCTCAGCCAGACCTTTCAGCAACTCAGTTTGTCGAAGGAGACAACCAAGACTGGGGATTTCACGATTGATCCCAATACGTACACTTGGGTGGCCCACGGATGCACAGATACCTTTGAGGAGAATGAGAAACCTGATGACCGTGGCGAAGTGATGGTGAATTTCTATATCCATTTTACATCCATGGAGAAGATCCCCTTTGAGGTCACGCAGAAGAGCTCAAGGTTCAGTGTGGAGCTGATTCCGAAGCAGCTGCCTGACGTGTAAGTTTGCCGATAGATGATCATATTTGTAGGTCAGATTTGAATTGTGGGGTCCTGGGTGCTCTTTGAGCTTGGTAGTTTTCTTACTCTACTACCATGTTTCCCCAAAAGTAAGACCCTGTCTTACTTTCCTTTACGCTCTGAAGTAAACACTAGATTTTACTTTTGTGGGGGTGGAGCGGGGCTTATGCATGGGGTGGAGAAGCAATGCGGCGGTGAGAGCATGGTGGCAGACCAGGTATGGCACTGGTGTGGCCCTGGTTGGTGGTGGTGGAAAGGGTGCCAAGCCTGGCGCGGGACAAGTTGGCCCAAATCTGGAGGGCCACCACCAGTCTGCCAGGGCCCTTTGCCAGCAACCGCCAGTGGAACTGCACCAGCCGCACTTCCATCTTTGGGCTGCTTGAGTGCCAGCCTGCACAGCTACTCAATGCTGCAGGCACTGGGCTAAGGGCTGAACCTGGTGCTCTTCGGGCCCTGGCGGGTGCTGCAGCTCTCATACCAGCTGAGCACTTTTGGCCTGTATTAGCTGCTCCCGCTGGATCACCTGCACCCAACTGGTGGCTATCGCCGCTGCCATAAAATCAGGAGGCGACGCGGGGGGGGGGGGGATGGAGTTCCTTCCCTCGGCCTGACAGACACCTGCTGAAGCCGCACAGGGAAAGGCTGCTATATGGGGGAGTGGAGTTGCTTCCCTCCACCTGCCAGACACCTACCAAAGTTGTGCAGAGTAAGGTTGCCATGCCCGCCCTGCCGAGATGCGGTTTTTTTTTTTACCATACTAACCTGTCTTTCAGCCTCATTGTATTTGTCCATTCGCTTCTCAGCCTTCGCCGTGTGTTTGTGAGACAAAAAAAAAAAAGTTCAATCAGACTTTCTAACTTCTCGCGCGATCTGAAGAACTTAGAAAGTCTGATTGAACTTTTTTTTTTGTCCCACAAACACGTGGCGAAGGCTGAGAAGCGAACGGAAAAATGCAGTGCAGCTGGTTAGTAAAAAAATGCTTGGGGGAGGGGAGGGCATCTGAGTGGGAGCGGGGACGGCAACCTTACCCTGCGCAGCTTCGGCAGGTGTCTGGTAGGCAAAGAGAAGCAACTCCACCACCCCATGGCAACCTTACCCTGCGTGGCTTCGGCAGGTGTCTGGCAGGTGGAGGGAAGCAACTCTACCCCTCTGCCACCTGCCTTGCCTCCTCACCTCATGGCGGTGGCAGCAGCTGGCCGGGTGGAGACGATCCAGCGGGAGCAGCCGGTGGAGGCCAAAAGCACCCAGCTGGCATGAGCGATGAAGGGCCTGTAGAATGTCAGGCTCAGCCCTTAACCCAGCGCCTGCAACACCGAGTAGACGTGCAGGCTGGCGCTCAAGCAGCCCAAAAGCAGAGGCATGGTGGCCGCTGGCCAAGGGCCCTGGCAGACTGGTGGCGGGGCAGCACTCCGGATCTGGGCCGACTCGCCCCACACCAGGCAGGAGCAGCTCAGCAGGGCAGTCCAGAGTAGCGGGGCCAGGAGGGCAAAGAGTCCTGCAAGGCAGAAGCAGCACGGGCAGCCACTTGGCTGCCACACGGCACCTGACATGGCCAAGAAATGTCCCAGCAGCAGTAGGGCCAGCTTGGCTCCTCCTCCTCCTCCTCCTCTTCCTGCCACCTTCTCTTCCACTTCGCAAACCCTTCAAGTGCTGATGATGTTTCTTAGTTTGGTAAGGAAACGTCTGCAGCAGTGGTTCTCAACCTGTGGGTTGGGACCCCATTTGGGGTCGAACGACCATTTCACGGGGGCCGCCAAACAACGCAGTCTGCCATTTTTTTCCCTTTTCCTTAGCTGTGCTCCTCCCTTTTATTCTATTGGCTTTTGAAAGCCAATAGAATAGACTCTCTTGAATAGACTCTAATTCTATTGGCTTTCAAAAGCCAATAGGAATTGTCCAGGCTGTCTCTGCCCTGCTGAGCCCGCCAAAAGTCCCATTCTACAAACGGTGCTGCACCAGTTGAGTAGTCCTCGACTTACGACCGGTTGAGTAGTCCTCTATTTACGACCGGTTGGGGGGTCGCGGCATTAAAAAGGTTGAGAACCACTGCTCTCAACCAGCTTAGTTGCACCAAGGACTCCACAGTGTAAATCTGCATTGCATCAAAGCATTTGGGTTCTTTTTTTTTTTTTTTTGCCCTTTCTCTCTTTTCGTCTTTATTTTTTTCCGTAACTGATCCCAGCAAAAGGGTGATTTTGGTGGTTTGACTAATCATGAATATCTCAACGTAAAACAAATATTTTCTCTCAATTCCTTCACAGTCCTGACAGTGATAAATGGGATCAGTCGTGTGTCTGATCTAATTTTGCAACCTTTTTTTTTTTTTTTTTTTGCCTTGGTCCTTAAGCTGTCATAAATGCATGCTGTCTGCCAAATGCCTGAATTTTGATCATGTGACCCTGGGGATGTTGCAACAGTTCTAAGAATGAGTATTGGGTGTAAGTCACTTTTTTAAAAGTGCTGTTGTAACTTTGAATGGTTAGTAAAATCAATAATTGTAGGTCGAAGACTACCAGTATAGATAATCCTCCACTTGCAAACGTTCATTTAGTGACGGAAGTTACAGTGGCACTGGAAAAAATGACTTATGGCTGGTTTTCACACTTAATGACTGTTGCAGCATCCCCATGGTCATGTGATCAAAATTCGGATACTGTCTCATATTTATGACGGGTTGCCGTGACCCGGGGTCACGTAATCCCCTTTTGCGACCTTATGACAAGCAAAATCAAGGAAGAAGGCAGATTTACTTAACAGCCGTGTTGCTGACTTATCAACTGCAGTGATTCATTTTACAACTGTGGCAAGGAAGGTTGTAACATTGGGGCAAGACTCACCTAACAAATGTTTCACTTAGCAACAGAAATGTTGGGCTCAGTTGTGGTTATAAGTCAATGATGGCGAACCTTTTAGAGACTGAGTGCCCAAACTGCAACTCAAAACCCACTTATGCATCGTCGGGTGCCAAGTGGGTGTGGCCCATTGGCTGGGCGTGGCCAATTGGGAGGGTGTGGCCCATTGAGTGGGCATGGCTGCAGTGGTAACGGCAGACTGGGTGGGACTAAATCAGTGATGGGCGAACCTTTTAGAGACTGAGTGCCCAAACTGCAACCCAAAACCCACTTATGCATCGTCGGGTGCTGGGTGGGTGTGGCCCATTGGGTGGGTGTGGCCCATTGGGAGGGTGTGGCCCATTGGGTGGGCATGGTTGCAGTGGTAAGGGCAGACTGGGTGGGACTAAAAAGTTCAATCAATCAATTCCAACTTTGCAAGATCTTTTTTTTTCCCACGAGAAGTTGAAATTGACTGATTGATTGAACCTTTTTTTTTTTTGCACACGGCGGCAGAGGCCTAAAGCGAAAAGGTTTTATAAAACCCAGCTGAAGACCTAGGACTGGGGCGACAGTGCGCGTGCCCACAGAGAGGGCTCTGAGTGCCGCCTCCGGCACCCGTGCCATAGGTTCGCCACCACTGGTATAAGTCAAGGACTACCTGTATGAAGATAAATATTCTGTGGACAATTTACAACAAGAATGTTTGGAAACCTTGCTGAGTTTTTTTTCCCCTTATCTCTTTGGTGTGTTTTTTCTTTCTTTCTGCACTTATCTTTTCTTTTCTTCACAGTCGGAAAGAAAAAGCAATTTGGAACCTGGAGTATGCCTCAAAACTTGCACAGAGAATAGCATTGGGTCAACCCATTCCAACCCAAAGTAAGTACCGGTAGTCAATATACGACCACAATTGAGCCCAAAATTTCTGTCGTTAAGCAAGGCAGCTGTTTAAATCAGTTTGGCCCCATTTTGAGACTTTTCTTGCCACTATTGCAACGTGAATTGCTGCAATTGTTAAGTGAATCGTGTGGTTGTTATATGCAAATCTGGCTTCCATTGATTTCGTTTGCTGGAAGCCGGCTGGGAAGGTTACAAGTGATGATCACATGACCCCCAGGACAGTGTAACTGTCATAAGTACATGTCAGTTGCCAAGCATCTGAATTTTGATCATGTGACCGTGGGAACGCTGCAACAGTTGTGTGAAAAACAGGCATCAGTCCCTTTTTTTTCCCAGTGCCGCTGTAACTTCAAATGGCCACTAAACGAATAATTGAAATCAAGGACTACCTGTAGAAAGAAATTGCATAGCCTAGCACTGAAAAGAGCACAGGCAGCCCTCAACTTATGACCAGCTGCTTAGTAACCATTTGGAGTTTGATTCAGCTCCCGAGAACGTAATTATAACACGGTTCGGAGGTTCTGGTAGTCACCTCACCCTCTGTCTTTTGGCCACTGGCCCGCAACGATGGTCATTTGTAGCCTCTTGTAGTCCTTGCCTTGTGATTTAGTATTGTTTTTGCAGAAAACCACCTTTACTTGGCAAAAAAGAAGAAGCAAATAATGGGTTCGCTTAACAACCATGGTGATTTGCTTAATGACTGCTGCAACCAGGATTGTAAAATTGAGTCTGATCATGTGAGGACTTGCTTTATGGCTGTCTTGACCTACGACTAATGACTAGGCTCCATTGCGGTCGTACATTGAGGATTACCTATCATAATAGAGCCGTCTGCAGAATGGAAGAATTTTGTCAAATGATGCATGCATTGTGCATTGTGCAGGTGCTGTCTTCTCCTCCTCCTCTTTCTCCTCCTCCTCCTCCTCCTCCTCTTCCTCTCCATACATCCTCCTCCCTTATAACACTTATGATGTTAAATGTGGTAACAATGGTATATGCAGCACAGTGCAGGGAGCCATGTGCAGATCTGTACATAGGGGAAACAAAACAACAACTTCATAAATGTATGGCACAACATAGGAGAACAAACCATCAGGACAAGATTCAGCAGTCCATCTGCATTTAAAAGAAAAAAGCCACTCTTTTGAAGACAGCGTAATCCACATTTTGGACAGAGGGAACCACTGGTTTGAAAGAGGGGTCAAAGAGGCCATCTAGATCAAAATTGAACAACCCTCTTTTAACAGAGGGGAAGAGATACAAAATCATCTATTTCCAGTCTACAACACAGTCCTTTCAGCGGTTCCAAGAAGACTCCACACCCCTTTACACTACTCAGGTAATCCTGAGGACACAGGTAAACCTCCAAATGGCCCCCAACAACTCTGGAAAAGACGGCAAATGACCAGCTTTCTGCAAGGAGTATAAATCCTTCCATTCCCCTGCCAGCCAGTCAGAGCTGAAGAAGCTTCTTGGATGAGAAGCGAAACGTCTTCAAAGGAAAAACAAGAGAGTCCAGTTGCCTCATGGAAAAGCACCTTTGGGATACTGATGATGTTACCTGGTTGGGTCATGAAATGTCTGTAAGAAAACAAACAAGCTCAGAGAGCAGCAAGGACCCCTCATGTCAATCCTGAGCTACAAATATTCTCCTTTATTATACCAAAAGGCCAAATCCAGGATAAATATCTGGCTGACTACGTGACAAATGAACAACAATAATAATATATTAAATGTATATATTACTGGCAATCTGTGAAAAACTGGCATTGTATAGAATGCCCAGGAAACCTATAGAATGTGTATAGTATGAAATGTATGTGTTATTTCAATATGCTATATACTTTCCCTGGGGCATTGTATATAATACCTAGACTGTCAGGGAATTGTGCAGCAGGTGTCCAAATGTAAGCAGAGACTCTGACATGAACATATAATTTTATATAAATGAATATAATCTACAACTATATGTACAGCAAACTAGCTTTCAGGCACCTCACTACATCATGAGGTAAATACATAGAGCGCTCAGCTGGCACACAGAAGAAAAAAGGCGGGAAAAAAGGGAAACTCCCTCTCCACGCCCACAGCAACCAATCACAACGTAGATTGCCTCACGCAGGAGCCAACCAATTGGCTATAACTGTGTGTTCTGGCTCACTGCACAACCCTACTGCTCCAGCTGCTAAATTTAAATATCATAACATAGACATCATGCAGAATGGCAAGAACTGTTAGGCAAAGTCTGAAAAGGGTGAGGGGCTAAGGTTAGGGTTAGAGTGAGGGTTAAGATATGAGTGAGGGTTAGGGTTAGGGTTGGAGTGGGGGGTTAACCATGGTTAGGGTTAGAATGAGGGTTTAGACTGAGGGTTAGGGTCACGGTTAGTGTAGGGTTAGAGTGAGGGTTAAGACATGAGTTAAGGTTAGGGTTAGAGTGGGGGTTAATGATCATGGTTAGGGTTAGAATGAGGGTTTAGAGTGAGGGTTAGGGTAACTGTTAGAGTGAGGGTTAAGGTAAGTGAGGGTTAGGATTAAGGTTTAGAGTGAAGATTAGAGTCACGTTTAGGGTTAGAGTGAGGGTTAAGGTAAGAGTGAGGATTGGAATTAGGGGTTAGAGTGAGGGTCACGGTTAGGTTAAAGTGAGGGTTAAGGTAAGAGTGAGGGTTAGGGTTTAGAGTGAGAGTTAACGATCATGGTTAGGGTTAGAATGAGGGTTTAGAATGAGGGTTAGGATTACGGTTAGGGTTAGAGTGAGGATTAAGGTAAGAGTGAGGGTTGGGATTAGGGGTTAGAGTGAGGGTCATGGTTAGGGTTAGAGTGAGGGTTAACATAAGAGTGAGGGTTAGGATTAGGGTTTAGAATGAGGGTTAGGGTCACGGTTAGGGTTAGAGTGAGGGTTAAGTTAAGAGTGAGGGTTGAGATTAGGAGTTAGAGTGAGGGTCATGGTTAGGGTTCGAGTGAGGGTTAGAGTTAGGGTTTAGATGATGGTTAGGGTCACGGATAGGGTTAGAGTGAGGGTTAGATTTAGAATGAGGGTTAGGGTTATGGTTGGAGTTAGGGTTAGGGTTAGAGTGAGGGTTAGGGCTAGGGTTAACCCTAACCCTTCATTGAAAAGATGAACGAAGAAATGCAAAATAAAGTACAGGACTTTCTTACTGGGAAAAAAACGAGGAAAAAACTCAAGTATTGACCTACTTATTGCAACCAGGAAGGCTAGGGTTAGGGTTTATACTTTAGGATTACGGTTTATACTTTGCCAGTTTGCTTTTTAGCATTACACAGGAGCCTAGCAAATGTGTGAAATATTAAATGTTTCATACTTTGACGTGCCATTTTGGGCATTCCGTAGGATTTGTAGGCATCTTATGGAATTCCTAATTTCACACACTGATAGTAACATATAGTATATACCACCTGATTCCCAGTGAATAATGAGTTTGCCTTGCTTGTATCTTTCAACAGTTTTTTCTCTTGTTATTTGCAGGAGCAAGACCTTTCACTATCTTGAAGAGAGGGAATTTTGACATCCCAGGCAGTAGTCGGAAACTCAATCCAAGTCAACAGAGTGCCATCCAGGAGGCACTGGAAAAGCCCTTTACTCTAATCCAAGGGCCGCCAGGTGAAGGATCGACTCCCTTTTTACGACCCTGTAATCCAGCGGTTCTCAACCTATGGGTCGCGACCCCATTTGGGGTCGATCGACCATTTCACGGGGGTTGCCAAGCAAGGCTGTCCGCCATTTTTTTCCCCTTTTCCGGCGGGTGCCTTATCTCCCTTGGGCTGGGTCAGCTGGTGGCCCAGCCAGTGGTCGGCCTGCTCCATCTATGCCGCTTGCCAGCTACGCCTCGGCCGGCATAGGGGGCGGCACTACGCATGCGCGGCGCTCCTGGGCAGGGAAAGTCCTTGACTTACGACCGGTTGGGTAGTCCTTGACTTATGACCGGTTGGGTAGTCCTTGACTTACGACCAGTTTAGTCCTCGACTTACGACCGGTTGGAGGTCGCGGCATTAAAAAGGTTGAGAACCACTGCTGTAATCCCTTAATTTGGGGTAGAGTCAGGGCAACTTGATGGAGTTGAGCATTTACTGGCCAGATGCCCTTCTTGATGCCACGTGGAGATAATAATAATAATAATAATAATAATAATAATAATAATAATAATAATAATAATAATAATAATAATAATGTTGGAAGGGAGCTTGGTGGTCATCTACTCCAACCCCCTGCTCAGGCAGGAAACCCTATACCCTTTCAGATAAATGGCTGTCCAGTCTCTTCTTAAAAACTTCTAGTGTTGGAGCATTCACCGCTTCTGGAGGCAGGTTGTTCCATTGGTTAATTGTTCTCACTGTCAGGAAGTTTCTCCTTAGTTTTAAGTTGCTTCTCTCCTTGATTAGTTTCCATCCATTGCTTCTTGTCCTGCCTTCAGGTGCTTTGGAGAATAGCTTGACTCCCTCTTCTTTGGGGAAGCCCCTGAGATATTGGAAGACTGCTATCATGTCCCCCCTCGTCCTTCTCTTCATTAAACTAGACATACCCAATTCCAGCAGCCATTCCTTATATATTTTAGCCTCCAGTCCCCTGATCCTCTTTGTTGCTCTTCTCTGCACTCTTTCTAGAGTCTCAACATCTTTTTTACATCGGGCGATGTAAAAAAGATGTCTTTTCTTTGTGCCCTGATAGAGAAACATTTGCCGCTATCTAGGGTGGAATTCTCAACCTTCCAAATGGGAGGGTGAGCATCTTCACAATTAGACCAGCATAGCTAAATGTCCATGGAGATTCTCAGTCATCCAGGTCATGGCTGTCCCAAAGGTGCTTTTTCAAAAGGCAACTGGACTTTTCTTTATTTTTTTTTTGAAGACCAGTTTAGAAGAGGGACCAAAGAGGCCATTTGTATTAAAATTGAACAGCCCTTTCTCAATAAAGAATATGATACCACTGTCCCATCTACAACTTAGTCCTTTCAGCTATTCCACACCCATTTGCACTATAGGCAGTCCTCGACTTACCACAGTTCATTTAGTGCAGGGGTAGGCAACCTGGGCTCTTTTATGACTCGTGGACTTCAACTCCCAGAATTCGTGAGCCAGCCATGCTGAGGGTAAGGGGGAGGTTTCCAAGCTGAGCCATGCTGGCTCAGGAATTATTCTGGAAGTTGAAGTCCACATGTCTTAAAGTTGCTGAGGTGGAGAAACAATGGACTAGGCCAGGGGCAGGCAACCTTGGCTCTTTTATGAATCATGGACTTCAACTCCCAGAATTCCTGAGCCAGCATGGGGAAACTATGGCCCCCTCATGACTCGTGGACTTCAACTCCCAGAATTCCTGAGCCAGCCATGCTGAGGGGAAAGGGAGAGGTTTTCAAGTTGAGCCGTGCTGGCTCAGGAATTCTGGGAGTTGAGTCCACACATCTTAAAGTTGCTGAGGTGGAGAAACAATGGAATAGGGCAGAAATAGGCAACCTTGGCTCTTTTATGACTCGTGGACTCCAATTCCCAGAATTCCTGAGCCAGCTGTGCTGAGGAGAAAGGGAGAGGTTTCCAAGCTGAGCCAAGCTGGCTCAGGAATTCTGGGAGTTGAAGTTCACGAGTCATAAAAGAGCCAAGGTTGCCTAGCCCTGATTTAGTGACTCTTCAAAGTTACAGCAGCACTGAAAAAGGTGACTTATGACCGTTTTTCACAATTACGACCTTTGCAGCATCCCCATGATCACATAATCAAAATACAGCTGCTTGGCAACTGGTTCTTATTTATGACCGTTACTGTGTCCCAAGGTCAGGTGTTCACCTTCTGCGACTTTCTGACGAGCAAAGTCAACGGGGAAGCTAGATTTACTTAATAACTGGATTACTAACTTATCAACTGCAGGGATTCCCTTAACAACGGTGTCAAGAAAGCTCGTAAACTGGGACAAAACTCACTTAACAACTGTCTCAGTTAGCAACAGAAATGTTAGGTTCAACTGTTGTTGTAAGTCGAGGACTACCTATATTCCAATGATGCCCCTGTTGCCATTGTGACTGAGTCATCCATCTTGCTGCTTCTTTCTACCGTTCCCCACTTTATGGACTTGTCAGAGAGAAACTGATCTTCACATCGATTGATTGATTGATTATGTTCCATCCAATCAGGTCAACTCTCAGCAACCACATAGATAGATTTTCTATTCCCAGGTCTTCCAATGATGTGTCCATCCCCGCCGTAACTGAGTCCATCTCCATTGCTGTTGGTCATCCTTTCTTTCCCCAGCATTAGAGCTTCTCTAGCGTGGGGCTTTTCACCCTTTTCACCCATTGTACCACTTTTACAATATGGCAACATCCGAGGACCACCAGTCGCCTAGCAAGGTGTCAAAAACTTGATGACCAAAAAAAAAAAGGAAAAAAGTGATAAAGTACAGGTAGTCCTTGACTTACAACAGTTTGCTTAGTGACTGTTTGAAGTTACAATGGCACTGAAAAAAGTGCCCCCCAAGCCACAACCGAGCAAGACCCCTGCCTGCCAGCCCGGCGGCGCTCTTCCTTCTGTCCGAGGTTTTCATGGTTGTGAGCATTTCTGTTGAGGATTGGCAGCGGGGGTGGGGTGAGGGGGTGTTTGGTTTTTATTCCCCCCCCTTGCTGGTGGTTGCAGCAGGTTTTGGTCACTTCACATGACCCTGGGACACTGTGACCGTCATAAATATGAATCAGTTGCCAAGCCTCTGAATGTAAATCACAAGACCCTGGAGAGGCTGCAACATTCCAGCTGATCGGCGCTTCTTCTGGGCTCAGCGGAAGCACCAGGATCAGCGCCGAGCTCCAGTTGGAGCCTGGTGCTGATCCTGGAGCTTCCACTGAGCCCTGATAGCCCTGCAGCTCCAGCCGTCTCTCGCTCTTGTGTGGTGCTGCCACTCGGCTCAGCTCATTCCCCTCCCCCGCTACCACTTTTCTAGGATGGTCGCGTACCATCTGCCAGGTGCCAATGTACCACAGGTGGTACCCGTACCACTGGTTGAAAAGCCCTGCTCTAGGGAACTAGCTATGGTTCATTTGACCCTTCCTCAATAAAGCAGCGTTTTAATCATTCTATGGAATGAGACTCTTGATCTGATCTACCTTGTAAGGCTGACAACTTCCTCTTTGTGTTTGTTTTTGTTCAGGCACTGGGAAAACCGTGGTTGGTGCTCATATTGTGTACTGGTTTCACCAGCTCAATCACGAGAAGAATGGAAACCCAACTCAACCTGGGGCGATGCCTTCAAAGACAACCGAGGGTGATGCCTCCAGAGCCAAGAGTCACATTCTGTACTGTGGACCTTCTCACAAATCAGTTGACGTTGTTGCTGGTAATCCATTTTCTCCATGGAAAAAATATTCTTGTTTTGGGCAGAATAGTGGAAAGTGAAATAGACCTGATTTTGCTATGGTGTAGAGTTGGTTGGCATACTGCTAAACTGAGCTCCTGTTCTCCATAGAATAGAATAGAATAGAATAGAATAGAATAGAATAGAATAGAATAGAATAGAATAGAACAGAATAGGATTAGAACAGAATAGGATTAGAACAGAATAGGATTAGAACAGAACAGGAATAGGAATAGAATAGAATAGAATAGAATAGAATAGAATAGAATAGAATAGAATAGAATAGAATAGAATAGAATAGAATAAATACAGAATAGAATAGAATAGGATTAGAAGAGAATAGGAATAAGAACAGAATAGAATAGGATTAGAACAGAACAGGAATAGGAATAAGAATAGAATAGAATGGAATAGAATAGAATAGGATTAGAATAGGATTAGAACAGATTAGGATTAGAACAGAATAGGAATAGGAATAAGAATAGAATAGAATAGGATTAGAATAGGATTAGAACAGAATAGGACTAGAACAGAACAGGAATAGGAATAGGAATTACAATAGAATAGAATAGAATAGAATAGAAATACAGGAGTAGCGTAGAGCAGAGTAGAGTAGAATAGAATAGAGTACAGTACGGTACAGTACAGTAGAATAGAATAACAGAGTTGGAAGGGATCTTGGAGGTCTTCTAGTCCAGGGGTAGGCAACCCAAAACACTCAAAGAGCCACTTGGACCCATTTCCCACCTAAAACAAAACACTGGGAGCCGCAAAACCCTTTTGATATCTAAAATGAAGATAACACTGCATATATCCTTTTTTACCTTTATTATAGGTGTGTGTGTGTTTGTGTGTGTGTGTGTGTGTGTGTGTGTATGTGTGTGTGTGTGTGTATGTGTATACACACACACACACACACACACACACACACACACACACGTAAAAAAAGGATATATGCAGTGTTATCTTCATTTTAGATGTCAAAAGGGTCTCTCTCTCTCTGTCTCTCTCCCTCCCTCCCTCTCTATCTGCCCTTGGTCTGCCACTGCTCTTCCCCCACTCTCTTTCTTTCTCTCTCTCTCTCTTTCCTCTCTCTCTCTCCCTCCCTCCCTCTCTCTCTCTCTTTCTCCCCCCCCATCTGCTGCTCACCTGGCAAGCTTCAAGCTGTTGTCCAACAAGCTCAGGGGTAGGCAACCTCGTCTCTTTTATGACTCATGGACTTCAACTCCCAGAATTCCTGAGTCAGCCTAGCTGGGCTAGCTAGCTCTCTCCTGCCTTTCCTGCTTCCTGCAGAGACGCAGCAAAGGGAGGAGCTCCACCCAGTAAGCTTTTCAGCTCCACAGAGAACACTGTGAGTGCACTCTCTTTTACACATACACACACACAAAAACACAAACACACACACACACACACACAGAGAGAGAGAGAGAGAGAGAGAGAGGCAGGGAAGCGCAATTGCCTCTCTCTGTCTCTGTCTCTCTCTGCAGAGGCAGAGGAGGCTAGGAGCCACAAGGGAAGACTCAAAGAGCCGCATGTGGCTCCAGAGCCACAGGTTGCCGACCTGTGTTCTAGTCCAACCCAGTGATGATTGATTGAACTTTTTAGTCCCACCCAGTCTGCCGTTACCACCGCAGCCACACCCACCTAATGGGCCATGCCCACCTGGCACCCGAAGATGCACAAGTGGGTTTTGGGTTGCAGTTTGGGCACTCGGTCTCTAAAAGGTTCGCCATCACTGCCCTATACCATTTCAGACAAATGGTTGTCCAGTCTTTTATTAAAAACTTCCAATCTAGCCTCTGATTTCCTTAACTGCATAACAAAGTTCTTCTATTTCATGTAAAATTGTTCCTTCTGCATGTATCCTATAATGAGGTGCCAAAATTGGACAATTCTCTTGGTCAGTCTTAGATCATCAAACATGGAAGGGACCTTAGAGGTCTTCTAGTTCAACCCCCTGCTCATGGCGGGAATTCCTATTAGATTCCAGACAAATGGCTGTCCAGTCTCTTCATGAAAACCTCCAGTGATGGAGCCCCCCACAACTTCCAGAGGCATCTTAAAATACAGGTAGCCCTTGACGTACGGCCACAATTGAGCCCAACATTTCTGCTGCTAAGTAAGGTAGTTGTTCAGGAAGTTTTGCCCCCATTTTACAACCTTTCTTGTCACCGTTGTTAAGTGAATCACTGCAGTGGTTAAGTTGGTAACCTGGTTGTTAAGTAAATCTGCCTTTCCCATTGATACTGTGTCAAGGTTCCGACTAATGGAACACTTCAAAGAACATCCAGGCATTGTTTATTCTAAAAAGTCTTTAATCATATGAACACAATGTCGGCACAGCATGAATGGATGCCAAGATCTGAATTTCCCTTTCTTTGCACATAACATTCCAGGCTATTCCCCTCCCCTATTTTGCAGTCATAACTCACATTTTCCAATCAGCCTGAAGGGCAAAGATTCACTTCAGTTCCCTATCGGCAGTCCTTATCTTTCTCCTCCCCTCCCACCATCATCTGAATTAACTCTAAAAATACCAGACAGTTCTGCATATCTTGTCAAAGCAAGAATATCCAATATTAGCTACTGCTTGTCAGAAGTTTGCAAAAGGAGATCACGTGAACCCGGGACACTGCAACGGTCAGAAATATGAGTCAATTTCCAAGAGCCTGAATTTTTATTCTGTGACCAGGGGGATGCTGGAACAATTATTAGTGTGAAAAATGGTCATAATTCACTTGTTTCAGTGCCACTGTAACTTCAAACGATCACTGAACAGGCATTGTAAGTAAATAAATAAATGATTTTGTTGTTGTTGTTGTTAATTGCAAAGTCGTGTCCGACCCATCGCGACCCCATGGACAACGTTCCTCCAGGTCTTCCTGTCCTCTACCATCTTCTGGAGTCCATTTAAGTTCACACCTACTGCTTCAGTTACTCCATCCAGCCATCTCATTCTCTGTCGTCCCCTTCTTCTATTGCCCTCAATCTTTCCCAGCATTAGGCCCTTCTCCAGTGAGTCCTTCCTTCTCATTAGGTGGCCAAAGTATTTGAGTTTCAACTTCAGGATCTGGCCTTCTAAAGAGCAGTCGGGGTTGATCTCTTCTAGGACTGACCGGTTTGAATGCCTTGCAGTCCAAGGGACTCGCAGGAGTCTTCTCCAGCACCATAGTTCAAAGGCCTCAATTCTTTTGCGCTCAGCCTTTCTTATGGTCCAATTTTCACAGCCATACATTGCAACTGGGAAAATCATGGCCTGGACTATACGCACTTTTGTTGGCAGGGTGATGTCTCTGCTTTTTAGTATGCTGTCTAGATTTGCCATAGCTTTCCTCCCCAGGAGCAAGCGTCTTTTAATTTCTTGGCTTCAGTCCCCATCTGAGGTGATCTTGGAGCCCAGAAAAATAAAATCTGTCACTACCTCCATTTCTTCCCCATCTATTTGCCAGGAATTGAGAGGGCCGGATGCCATGATTTTGGTTTTCTTAATGTTGAGTTTCAAGCCAACTTTTGCACTCTCCTTCTTCACCCGCATCAAGAGGCTCTTTAGTTCCTCTTCACTTTCTGCCATTAGAGTGGTATCATCTTGCGTATCTTAGGTTGTTGATGTTTCTCCCGGCAATCTTAATTCCAACTTTTGATTCATCTAGCCCTACCTTTCTCATGATGTGCTCTGCTGTTTCATGGTTTGTTCCAGTTAACCAAAGAGGCTGCAGCTTGCAAGACCCAGGCAGGAGAAATTACACTCAAGCCAACAAATGTTGGTTTCTTTTTTCAGAGATGCTCATGAGGATACCTGGTTACTTGAAGCCTCTGAGGGTCTACGGAGAGACGATTGAGACAATGGATTTTCCTTATCCTGGCAGCAACCTCCAAATTTCTCGAAAAGCTCAGCGGAACGCAAAATCAAAACCAGAGATCAGGTTTGAATTTGGGGCTGAGTTTTGTCTTCGCAAATGGGGTTCGGTTAGTGTTGCTAATAGTAGATTGGCAGCAGTAGTAGTAGTAGTAATAGTATTAATAATAGTAGTAATAGTAGATTGAGGGGTAGCACTTCATACATGTGTGTAAATATTTTGGCTTCTTGTTTAAACTAACCCTTTCTGCACAGGAGTATTACTTTGCACTACCTGATCCGGGGAAAACACAATCCATACTCGGGAAGGATCCTGGCATTTGATGAACGAGTGAAACGTGGAGAAGAGATCACCGAAGATGAAATTGACAGGTGAGGGCAATCAGATGGAGAGGGCTGACGAGCCTGATGTGAAGATCCCTCAGTTTTCCCAAGAGTTTCCTGAGTATCCTAGTCCAGGGCTTTTCAACCAGTGGTACGGGTACCACCTGTGGTACATGGGCACCTGGCAGGTGGGACGCGACCATCCTAGAAAAGGGGTAGCTGGGGAGGGGAATGAGCTGAACCGGTGGCAGCACTGCACAAGCCTGAGCGAGAGATGGTTGGAGCTGCAGGGCTGTCAGGGCTCAGCGGAAGCGCCAGGATCAGTGCTGCTTTCCAGCTTATCGGCGCTTCTTCGGGGCTGTCAGGGCTCAGCGGAAGCACCAGGATCAGCGCCAGGCTCCAGCTGGAGCTCAGCGCTGATCCTGGCGCTTCTGCTGAGCCCAGAAGCGCCGATCAGCTGGAATGTTGCAGCCTCTCCAGGGTCTTGTGATTTACATTCAGATGCCTGGCAACGGATTCATATTTATGACGGTCACAGTGTCCCAGGGTCATGTGAAGTGACCAAAACCTGCTGCAACCACCCAGCAGATGGGGGGAATAAAAACCAAACACCCCCCCACCCTACCCCCGCTGCCAATCCCCAACAGAAATGCTCACAATGAAAACCTCGGACAGGAGGAAGAGCACCGCCGGGTGGGCAGGCAGGGGTCTTGCTCGGCTGTGGCTTGGGGGGCACTTTTTTTTCAATGCCATTGTAACTTCAAACAATCACTAAGCGAACTGTTGTAAGTCAAGGACTACCTGTACTTTATCACTTTTTTCCTTTTTTGGGGGTGGGATCATTAGGTTTTTGACACCTTGCTAGGCAACTGGTGGTCCTTGGATGTTGCCATATCCTAAAAGTGGTACAATGGGTGAAAAGGTTGAAAAGCCCTGTCCTAGGAGAGCCAGCCTGGTTAAGATGTAGGCCTACAAACCAGGAGACAGGGAGTTCTAGTTCCATCTTGGACATGAAAAGTGGATTGGGCCCAATCACCAGGAGATGTAAGTTCTAGTCCTGCCTTTTGCGTGGAAGCCAGCTGGGTGACTTTGGGCCAGTCACCAGGAGACTATGAGTTCTAGTTGCAGCATTGGCATGAAAGATGGCTGGGTGACCTTGGATCAATCACCAGGAGACTGGGAGTTCTAGTCCCACCTTGGGTGTGAAAGCCAGTTGTGTCCACCCCCAGTGGGTTGTGGTACTGTCTTAGACATGAAAGCCACTTGTGCCAATCACCAAGAGATTGTGAGTTCTAGTTCCACCTTAGGCGCGAAAGCCACCCGGGTGGCTTTGGATCAATCACCAGGAGACTGGGAGTTCTAGTCTCATCTTAGGCATGAAAGCTGGCTTGTGGGCCAGCTGCTATCGCAGCCAAACTCATCTCACAGGGCTGTTGTTGTGGGGGAAATAGGAAGAAGGAATATTAGGTATGTTTGGCTTGTTGAGTTATTTAGAAAAATAAGGAAGTTTGTGTCTGTGTGTCAGCTGGGACGCAGTACAAGAATCCTGGTTTCTCACTGTGTGAATAAGACAGGGAAACCTAGTTTCTAGTCCTCCCTCAAGAAAAGCAACTCCCCAAGGGACCTGGAGTGAGTCCCCCCACTTTTGAACCCATCCTACCTTGAAGGATTGTTGTGAGGAGCAAAACGGGAGGCGAGAACCCCACATACGCCTCCTGAGTGAAAGGAAGGCTATCCATCCAATGCAGGTGGTCCTCGACTTACGACCACAACTGAGCATTGCTAAGTAAGGCATTTGTGAAGTGAATCACACACATACACCCTCCCCATTTTATGGCTTTTTTTGGCAGAGTTACGCAAGTCAGTTTATTTATTTAAAAAAATTGCGTTGTCGCCTATTTGCACGTGGCGATTCAAAGCAGCTTACACAGATAATATAAAAAAAAGTAACCAAAAGAAAAATAATAAAATAATAACTCCCCACCCCAGCGACAACTGTTGTTAAGTGACTCTGTTTTTCTCCCTTGACTTTGCTTGTCAGAAGCACTGGAAGTTTTTAAGAAGAGATTGGACAGCCATTTGTCCGAAATGGTATAGGGTTTCCTGCCTGAGCAGGGGGTTGGACTTGATGACCTCCAAGGTCCCTTCCAACTTTACTATTATTATTATTATTATTATTATTATTATTATTATTATTATTATAAGCTCCCTAGCCAGGTTGCAAATGACAGTCCCCCTATTTACGACGGCTGCAGCGTCTCGGCCACATGACCCCCCTTTGCACCCTTCCCAGTTGGCTTCCGGCCACCAAAATCAATGGCGTTAACCAGATTCACTTAACAACCACAGTGATTCACTTAACAACCAGGCCAAATAAAGTCATAAAACCAGACAGGATTCATTCCATTCCTTTAGCTGTAGGTCAACGGCTACCCGTCACTAAACAGGAATAAACCCCAGCACATCACCCATCTTCCCTACTCCCGTCTTTAGCCTGGCCTTGAATAACGGGGAAGGGTAGATTACGTCCCCCTTTCTCAGAGCCTCGCTTTAATTTTACATCAAGTTTCTAGCCCTGCGTGAAGCCGGTCGGAAGTGTGCGAGAAAACCCCGGAGAGCCAGAGGATCCACTTAAAAAACAACAACAAGGGTTTTCTTTTGTGGGCTGACAGGTACAAACGGCTGTTGAACAAGGCGCGGGGATTTGAACTGGAACGCCACGAGGTCGTTCTCTGCACGTGCTCCGCCTCTTCGTCCAACTTCCTCGCCGAGCATCTCCAAGTCAAGCAGGTGCTGATTGACGAGTGCGCCATGTGCACGGAGCCCGAAACGCTCATCCCGTTGGCCAAATACAAGACGATCGAGAAGGTGAGCCCGTGGGGTTGTCCTCCAAAGAACAGGTAGTCCGCAATTATGACCGCAATGGAGCCCAACATTTCCGTGGCCAAGTGAGGTCCTCTTGGCTGAGTTTGGCCCCATTTTACAGCCTTTCTTGCACCATTGTTAAGTGATTCACCGCAGTGGTTAGGTTAAGTGAATCTGGCTTCCCCATTGACTATAATGATGATGATGATGATGATGATGATGATGATGATGGAAGGGACCTTGGAGGTCTTCTAGTCCAACCCCTTGCTCAGGCAGGGGACCCTATACCATTTCAGATAAATGGCTGTCCAGTTTCTTCTTAAAAACTTCCAGTGTTGGAGCATTCACCGCTTCTGGAGGCAGTTTGTTCCACGGGTTAATTGTCCTCACTGTCAGGAGGTTTCTCCTTAGTTCAGGTTGCTTCTCTCCTTGATTAGTTTCCATCCATTGCTTCTTGTCCTGCCTTCAGGCACTTTGGAGAATAGAATAGAATAGAATAGAATAATAGTTGGAAGGGACCTTGGAGGTCATCTAGTCCAACCCCCTGCTCAGGCAGGAAAACCTATACCATTTCAGACAAATGGCTGTCCAGTCTCTTCTTAAAAACTTCCAGTGTTGGAGCATTCACAACTTCTGGAGGCAGGTTGTTCCACGGGTTAATTGTTCTCACTGTCAGGAGGTTTCTCCTTAGTTCAGGTTGCTTCTCTCCTTGATTAGTTTCCACCCGTTGCTTCTTGTCCTGCCTTCTGGCACTTTGGAGAATAGAATAGAATAGAATAGAATAGAATAGAATAGAATAGAATAGAATAGAATAATAGTTGGAAGGGACCTTGGAGGTCATCTAGTCCAACCCCCTGCTCAGGCAGGAAAACCTATACCATTTCAGACAAATGGCTGTCCAGTCTCTTCTTAAAAACTTCCAGTGTTGGAGCATTCACAACTTCTGGAGGCAGGTTGTTCCACGGGTTAATTGTTCTCACTGTCAGGAGGTTTCTCCTTAGTTCAGGTTGCTTCTCTCCTTGATTAGTTTCCACCCGTTGCTTCTTGTCCTGCCTTCTGGCACTTTGGAGAATAGAATAGAATAGAATAGAATAGAATAGAATAGAATAGAATAGAATAATAGTTGGAAGGGACCTTGGAGGTCATCTAGTCCAACCCCCTGCTCAGGCAGGAAAACCTATACCATTTCAGACAAATGGCTGTCCAGTCTCTTCTTAAAAACTTCCAGTGTTGGAGCATTCACAACTTCTGGAGGCAGGTTGTTCCACTGGTTAATTGTTCTCACTGTCAGGAAGTTTCTCCTTAGTTCTAGGTTGCTTCTCTCCTTGATTAGTTTCCACCCGTTGCTTCTTGTCCTGCCTTCAGGCGCTTTGGAGAAGAGCTTGACTATGCCTGTCAGATGCTTGCAAAAGGGCATGACGTGACTCCAGGACATTGCAACCGTCATAAATATGAGTCCAGTTGCCAAGTGTCCAAACTTTGATCACATGACCGTGGCAAAATTTTGTTGCTAAAGAAAGCAGTTGCTAAGTGAGTTTTGCCCCATTTTGCAACCTTTTTTTGGGGGGGGCATTGGGGGCTAAGCAAATCCTGCAGTTCTTAAGGGAATCCTGCAGTCATTAAATGAAACCGGCTTTCCCCCGTTGACTTTGCTTGTTGGCTAAGCTGGCTGGGAAAGTTGCAAATGGCCCTAAATATGTGCCAGTTGCCAAGGGCCCAAATTTGGATCATGTGACCATGTTAGTAAGTTAGCAATCCGGTTGTTAAATGAATTTGGCTTCCCCATTGGCTTCGGAAAAAGGGATCCCAGGATCCCGTGACGCTGCAACCGCCATGAATATGAGCCACTGTTCGAATTTTGATCACGTAACCATGAGGATGCTGTAACGGTCATAGGGGTGAACCATGGTCATAAGGCACCCTTTTCAGGGGTCCTGTAACTTTGAAAAGTCACTAAACAAATTGTTGTAAATCAGTGTTTCTCAACCTTGACAATTTTAAGGCATGTGGACTTCAACTCCCAGAATTCCACAGCCAGCATTGCTGGCTGTGGAATTCTGGGAGTTGAAGTCCACATGCCTTAAAATTGTCAAGGTTGAGAAACACTGTTGTAAACTGAGGACTACCTACATAGGAACCTGAATCCGAAGCCGCTTCTGTCCCTGGTTCTTGCACCTTGTTGAAAGACATGCTGGGGTGGCTTTGGGCACGGCTGGCTGGGGAATTCTGGAAACTGAAGTCCACACGTCTTAAAGTGGCCACAAGGCTGCGCCCCCTTGCTGTAAGGCGGATTAGGAACAGGAGGGAGGTTGGCTCTGAGAACTTCTCCTCTCCTTGCAGGTTGTCTTGTTAGGAGACCATAAGCAGCTGAGGCCCGTGGTCCACAGTGACTTCTGCAAGAAGCTCAAGATGGAGAGGTCCCTTTTTGAGCGCTACCACAAACAGGCTGGGATGCTCAACATCCAGTATCGCATGGTAAGGATTTCTCCGCCAGGAAGTACAACATAATGCTGTCCGAGAAACAAGGAGACAGTGAGTTCTAGTCTCGCCTTAGGCAGCAAAGCCAACTTAGTGACTTTGGGCCAATCACCAGGAGATGGTGAGTTCTAGTTTTGCCTTAGGCGTGAAAGCCGTCTGGGTGACTTTGGGCCAATCACCAGGAGACTGTGAGTTCTAGTCTTGCCTTAGGCAGCAAAGCCAACTTAGTGACTTTGGACCAATCACCAGGAGACTGTGAGTTCTAGTCCCGCCTCAGGCATGAAAGCCGGCTGGGTGACATTGGGCCAATCACCAGGAGACTGTGAATTCTAGTCCCGCCTCAGGCATGAAAACCAACTGGGTGACATTGGGCCAGTCACCACGAGACTGTGAATTCTAGTCCCGCCTTAGGCGTGAAAGCCAGCTGGGTGACATTGGGCCAATCCCCAGAAGACTGTGAGTTCTAGTCCCGCCTTAGGCACCAAAGCCCTACTGGGTGACTTTGGGCCAGTCCCTCTCTGTCTCTCTCAGCCCAACCCACCTCACAGGGTTGCTGTGACGGGGAGAACAGAATGAGTAAGGATTACCAGGTACGTTGGCTTCCTCCAGTGGTTTATAATATTAATAAAAGGCAGGGTATAAATAATTCAACACGTAATGAAAAGCAATCCTATTTGAAGTCGCGTAGCTTCACTAGAACAGCGCATCAGCGGTCTACGCTCCTTGCACGAATAAGCTCTTTTTTGACCCCCCCCATAGCACAAGGACATCTGCAGGTTCCCATCCGGGGCTTTTTACAACCATAAACTGATGACCTGTCCCAATATCGTTCGTGGAAGCAGCACGCTGTACCACCGTAGCGAATACGAATGCACCCCCATCATCTTTGGCCACGTCGAGGGCCGAGAGAGGTCGCTCGTGGTCTCCACGGAGGAGGGGAACGAGAACTCCAAGGCCAACCTGGAGGAGATGCAGCACGTGGTGAGTAAGCCTGATGGGCAGGTGGCCCTCGACGTACCAACACAGTCGAGCCCGAAGTGGTCTGCGACTAAGCGAGACCGTTGCCAAGTGAATTTCTCCCCATTTTACCACTGTTGTTGGTAACGCGGTTGTTAAGTGAATCTGCCTTCCCCATGGACTGCTTGTCGGAACGTCGCAAGAGAGGATCACTTGGTCCCAGCACACTACAACCATCCTAAATATGAGCCAGTTTGCCAAGCGTCCGAATTTTGATCCCGTAGCCAGGGGGATGCTGCAACAGTCGCTAGGGTGAGAAACAGTAAGGTCACTTTTTTTCGGCTGCAACTTCGAATGGTCACCAAATGAACCGCCGTAAGTCGAGGGCTACCTGTAGAAGAAGTTTGTTTATGATTACATTTTTCATTGCTGACCATCCCCCTTCTGAATCTGGAAGGCTTTAGGGATCAGCTCTGTAGCCTTGGTGGCTTCGGAGTTTTCTCAAACTGTTGGATCAGCTTCCAAAGCTGCCTTCTGCAGATGGGGGAGGGGGGGATTTGCCTGTACTACTGTCAACGCTGCAAATATTGTATATTCTTGCTTTTGACAATATGCAGAATTGTCTGGTAACTATGGGGTTAATGAAGAGCAGAAGGGGTGTTGGGGGTAAAGCCCGGGAAAGAAAGAGGAAGGAAACCTTTGACCTTCACACTAATTGGATAATGTGAGATATGATGGTGCTAATTTAGGGAGGGAACATGCGGATAATTTAACTGCTCAGAGGAAGAGAACTTAGAGCAGTGGTTCTCCACCTGTGGGTCGGGACCCCATTTGGGTTCGAACGACCATTTCGCGGGGGTCGCCAAACAACACAGTCCGCCATTTTTTCCCCCTTTTCTTTGGCCACGCCCCTGGCACCCGGTGATGTATAAGTGGTTGGGGGTCACCACAACATGGGGAACTGTATTATGGGGTCACGGCATTAGAAAGGTTGAGAACCACTGACTTAGATCCTGGCATGATGTTGCGGTTCCGGCTAATGAAACATTCCAAAGAACTTCCAGGCATTGATTTTCCTAAAAGCCTTTTATTGTTACAAATTGTCGGCACAGGCACAACGGAGGGATGCTAGGATCTAAGTTCTCTTCCTCTGAGCAGTTAAATTATCAGCATGTTCCCTCCCTAAATTAGCTGTCATATCTCACATTATCCAATTAGTGTGAAGGTCAAAGGTTTCCTTCCTCTTTCTTTCCCGGGCTTTACCCCCAACGCCCCTTCTGCTCTTTATTAACCCCATAGTTACCAGACAATTCTGCATATTGTCAAAAGCAAGAATATACAATATTTGCAGCGTTGACAACTACCAATGCATTGCCATAACACAGTGATGGCGAACCTTTTAGAGACTGGGTGCCCCAAAACCGCCTCGCCCCTGCCCCGCCTAGCCCACCTGCAGGGCCACCCATCGCCTCCATGGCCTGCTGCAGCAGATCGCCCAGGCGGCCCAGCAGCGTCATGGTGGCACTTCCGCTGAGCTCCGACAGCCCTGCAGCTCCAGCCGTCTCTCGCTCAGGCTTGTGTGGTGCTGCCAACGGTTCAGCTCATTCCCCTCCCCCGCTACCCCTTTCCTAGGATGGTCGCGTACCACCTGCCAGGTGCCTAGCCCTGATCTAGGGAATTATATTCATTATTGTCAACTCTTTGGTGCTGTCAAAGCTGATTCAGATTCTCTCCCTACTTGCCATTTTCCTCGCAGCTTGACAACCGAAACGGAAGGGAGGGGGGGTGGAGTCTTTGGGGGGGGGGGTGGAGTTGGGAGGGGCTGAGGAATCAGGTGAGCCAGCTGGGCCCTGTGAGGTTATGTTATGAGAACTCTTTGAATGGCGCAGAGTGTGTTTCCACAACACAAAGAAAGCGTTAGATTGGCAGACAATGGGCAGCGGGCGACCTAAAAAAGGGAAAAAAGGGTAAATTTATCTTTGCTGCTGTCTGTGGGAACCTTATAATTGGCTTTACTTCGTCTGTACCTATATGGATCCATCAGTAAAATTATACTCTATATCAGGGGTGTCAAACTCAATTTCATTGAGGGCCGCATCAGCATTGCGGTTGCCCTCGGGGGGGGAGGTGGGTGTGGCCTACTGGGTGGGCATGGCTGGAGTGGGTGTGGCCTACTGGGTGGGCATGGCCAGCTCTACATCATTCGCGTCAAGGATGCCCGTGGGGGCCTGGGCAGGAGTGGGACAGATCTAAGGGTCTCTGGCAGAAGGGGGGGGGGACTGGGGCAAGCACCAAGGCATGGTCCATTTTTTCATTCCTCACAAAGGGGGACACGTCCCCAGCATGCACCCAGGGGGCGGGGCCAACGCGGCAGGGGCCGGTTCCTCGCTGTTTCCAGACGGCCTTGTGGAGCTAAGACCGAATGCGTTTCAGCATAGATGGCCACCACAAAATTGTACATTGGCTCCTGGCCGGCCTGGGCCAGGGCCAAGGCAGCAGGGGCCGTTCCCTCACTGTTTCCAGGATGGCTTCGCGGGCCACATGAAACCACTTCATGGGCTGCATCTGGCCCCCAGGCCTTGTATTTGACATGTCTGCCCTATACCCCAGGACTTTCTTTGGGGTACAGTTAACGGTACAGGTGCTGTCTGAGTTGGGTTGTTTTCTTGCAGGCGTTGCATGATCCAACGATGACTAGGTCAGTGGTGGCGAACCTATGGCACGAGTGCCAGAGGCGGCACTCAGAGCCTTCTCTGTGGGCACACGTGCCGTCACCCCAACCCTGCCTCCCCCCACGGCCCCCTCCATATCAGAAACACCCCCCCGGAGGAGAGTCGCCCCCAGGCACGGCCCACCTGGAGCAGCGCAGCCAAGGACATGACAGCCAGGCAGTGGGGACAAGACTCCACCCTTGTGCCCCGTCACAAACAGATGATGCTGCAGGGCATGTGGCCAGGGCGATCTGCGTTGGGCCGTGGAGGTGGTGGGTGGCCCTGTGGGTGGGGGAGGGGCAGGGGTAGAGGGGGGCAGTGTGGGGGTGGGGCAGTTTTGGGGCACTCGGTCTCTAAAAGGTTCTCCATCACTGCACTAGGTAATGTTGTCAATGCTAGAAGGGAATGGGGTTTGTGGAGTGGAAGATAAGAAGAGGAGGACAACTGTGGGGTCCTTGATGCTCTCCGAGCTTGGTTGTTTTCTGGCAGACATTTCATGACCCAGCTAGGTAACCTCATCAGTGTTAGAAAGGAATTGGGTTTGCTTCCATTCCCGCACTCACTCACACCTTTCTAACGCTAAAGTTTTAAACTGAGTGGGTGGGGGAGATGAAACGTGGCTCCCGTATAGGACCAAGAGTGAGGTTTGGAACCACGGATGTCCTGCCTTCAGCCCACATTTGGATTAGCTCACCAAAGATGGGACTTGTAGTCCGTGCTACCCAGACACCGGGAAGGCACAATAGCTCACCCAGTCTTCCATGACCGGTGAAGGCAGCTTGCAAGACTTCCATCTCAAACGTCCGCTCTTGGTTGAGCAGAGTTTTAAGGTCTCCGTGCTTTTTTCCCCCTCTAGGTGAGGATTGCAAAGCAGCTGACCCTGGATAGAACCACCACGCCAGACCAGATCGCTATCCTGACTGGTTACAATGCCCAGGTCATTGAGATCAAGAAGCAACTCGCTCTGGATGGCATGCGAGACGTCAACGTTTGCACCATCATGAAAAGCCAAGGTAAGGGAAGGGGGTAGGTGGCTAAGCCAGATCTGGTTCCCGCATGAAAATATCGACTGGGACCATCATGGAAAAAATCTCTCTTCCTTTTTTTCAGAATACAGGTAGTCCTTGATTTATGACTGCAGCTGAGCCTCAAATTTCCATTGCTAAGCAAGACAGTTGTTAGTTTAACCCAAGGGTCTTCAAACTTGGCCCTTTTATGACTTGTGGACTTCAACTCCCAGAATTTCTCAGCCAGGCACGCGTGCCTGGCTGAGGAATTCTGGGAGTTGAAGTCCACAAGTCATAAAAGGGCCATGTTTGAAGACCCCTGGATGAACCTATACCAGTGATGGCGAACCTTTTAGAGACCGAGTGCCCAAACTGCAACCCAAACTCACTTATGTATCGTCGGGTGCCGGGTGGGTGTGGCCCATTGGGTGGGCGTGGCTGCGGTGGTAATGGCAGACTGGGTGGGACTAAAAAGTTCAGTCAATCAATTCCAACTTTGCAAGATCTTTTTTTTTCCCGCGAGAAGTTGAAATTGACTGATTGATTGAACCTTTTTTTTTTTTTTTTGCACACTGTGGGCCGAGGCCTAAAGTGAAAAGGTTTTATAAAACCCAGCTGAAGGCCCAGGACTGGGGCGACGGTGAGAGGGCTCTGAGTGCTCCCTCTGGCACCCGTGCCATAGGTTCGCCACCACTGACCTATAACAAAACAATCCCTAATCCAGTGGTTCTCAACCTGTGGGTCGGGACCCCATTTGGGGTCGAACGACCATTTCACGGGGGTCGCCAAACAATGCAGTCTGCCATTTTCCCCCCCTTTTCCTTAGCTGTGCTACTCCCCTTTATTCTGTTGGCTTTTGAAAGCCAATAGAATAGACTCTCTTGAATAGAGTCTAATTCTATTGGCTTTCAAAAGCCAATCGGAATTGTCCAGGCTGTCTCTGCCCTGCTGAGCCCGCCAAAAAGTCCCATTCTGCAAACGGTGCTGCCCAGTTGAGTAGTCCTCGACTTACGACCGGTTGAGTAGTCCTCGACTTACGACCGGTTGGGGGTCGCGGCATTAAAAAGGTTGAGAACCACTGCCCTAATTGATGGGACCCATGGCATGCTCTACCTTCCCATCCTGGTGGATCTCCCCGCTATTACATCCAACCGGCCTACCAGGACAGGAAGTCAGGCATGTTACGGGTCCCATCAATTAGGGATTGTCAGCTGGGAGAACCACAAAACCAGGCCTTCTCGGTGGCGGCCCCTTCTTTATGGAACTTCATTCACCTTGAGGTATGGTTGGCCCCGTCCCTGCTGCTTTTCGAAAGACCTTAAGAACATGGTTTTGTCAGTAGGCCCGGGGACCCCGAATGGACTGTGGCTGATTTGATTGCGTTGTTGCTGCAATCAGGGGTGGTGTGGGATTTTCTCAACAGCTTGTCAATGCTGCAAATATTGTATATTCTTGCTTTTGACAATATGCAGAATTGTCTGGTAAATATGGGGTTAATAAAGAGCAGAAGGGGCGTTGGGGGTAAAGCCCGGGGGAAAGGAAGAGGAAGAAAACATTTGACCTTCACACTAATTGGATAGTGTGAGATATGAGGGGTAATTTAGGGAGGAAACATGCTGACAATTTAACTGCTCAGAGGAAGAGAACTTAGATCCTAGCATCCCTCCGTTGTGCCTGTGCCGACATTTTGTAACAATAAAAGACTTTTAGGAAAATCAATGCCTGGAAGTTCTTTGGAATGTTTCATTAGCCGGAACCACATCACAGCTTTACTATATGGTGGGTTTTTTTAAAAAAAATGTTTTCATGTTGTAAGTTGTCCTGGATCAGAATAATAGAATACCATAGTTGGGAGGGACCTTGGAGGTCATCTAGTCGAACCCCTTGCTCAAGCAGTGAATCCTATACGACCAGAGTTGAGCCCAACATTTCTGGTTGCTAAGTGAGACACTTGTGAAGTGAGTTTTATGCCCCATTTTCTTGCCATAGTTGTTAAGAGAATCACTGCAGTTATTAAGTTAGTAACGTGGTGGTTAAGTGAAAGTAGCTCGCTCACTGACTCGGCTTGGCAGAAGATCGCAAAATGCGATCACATGACCCCGGGACACTGCAACCACCGTAAGTACATGCCAGTTGCCAAGCCTCTGAACTTTGATCATGTGACCATGGGGATGCTGCAAGGGTCCTGTGAAAAATGGTGCCGTTGTCACTTCGAACTGTCACTAAATAAACTGTTGTAAGTTGGGGACTACTTGTACCATCCTGGTCAAGTGGGTGGTCCAGTCTCATCTTAAAAACTTCCAGTGTTGGAGCACCCACAACTTCTGGAGGCAGGTCGTTCCACTGGTTAATTGTTCTCACTGTCAGGAAATTTCTCCTTGTTTCTAAGTTGCTTCTCTCTTTCGTTACTTTCCATCACTGAGGTATGAACGGGACGGCTGTCTGCTCGGTTGAATTCGTAAGTAAATAAACACAAACTGGGTTCCGTTGTTGTTGCTTTCCAGGCAGCGAATGGAAATACGTCATCGTGTCCACAGTCCGCTCCTGTAACCGGCAGGAGATTGACGAGAGCCCCACAAAGAGCTGGCACAGTAAATATCTTGGCTTCGTAGCAGATCCAAATCAGATCAACGTCTGCCTCACTCGGGCGCAGGAAGGTCTCTGTATTATAGGTAAGCAAAAGGCTGCTGAGCAGGACTCTCCTGGAGAAGGCAGCGGGTCTGGATTCGCACTGTGTCCTAGACCAGAGGGGTCTGAACGTCAGTTGTTTAGAGGAGGCCCACCATCATTCCAGCACAGTGATGGAGAACCTTTTAGAGCGGTGACGGCGAACCTTTTAGAACAGTGGTTCTCAACCTTTTTAATGCCGCGACCCCAACCGGTCGTAAGTCGAGGACTACTTAGCTGGTGCAGCACCGTTTGCAGAATGGGACTTTTGGCGGGCTCAGCAGGGCAGAGACAGCCTGGACAATTCCTATTGGCTTTTGAAAGCCAATAGAATTAGACTCTATTCAAGAGAGTCTATTCTATTGGCTTTCAAAGCCAATAGAATAAAAGGGAGTAGCACAGCTAAGGAAAAGGGGAAAAAAATGGCGGACTGCGTTGTTTGGCGACCCCCTGAAATGGTCATTCGACCCCAAATGGGGTCCCGACCCACAGGTTGAGAACCGCTGTTTTAGAGACCGAGTGCCCAAACCAAAACCCACTTATTTATCGCAAAGTGCTAGGACCGCATCAGCATTGTGGTGCCCTCATGGGGGGGGGGGGAGGGAGGCCCCTCTGAGTGCCGCCTCCGGCACGCAAAACCCGGGGCCACCACAACCCCCTGCTCAGGCAGGAAACCCTATACCATTTTGGACAAATGGCTGTCCAGTCTCTTCTTAAAAGCCTCCAGTGTTGGTAATTCCCACCACTTCCTGAGGCAAGCAGTTGCACTGGTTAATTGTTCTCACTGTCAGGAGAGAAGGGGATTGGACTAGATGACCTCCAAGGTCCCTTCCAACTTTATTATTATTGTTGTTGTGGTGGTGGTGGTTGTTATTGTTATTATTATCTCCTGGCGATTGGCCCAAAATCTTGGTCCATTTTGGTCAAATAAAACCTTTCCATTTTCCTGCCTTTCTCTCCTGTTTGTAGGGAACAGCTACCTTCTTGGGACCCATTCTTTGTGGTCGCAACTTCTGTTTCATTACAAGTTGTGTGGATGCTTTACCTCAGCCGGTGAAATCAAGATTAAGAAGAGGACCAGTCTTCGCTTGTAAGAAGACACTGCGGGAAAATTCCTTCTTTCTTTTTAACCACCTGGACACGGAGGCCGTGCCCAATTCCAGGAGATGGCATTTGCCAACACTGAGCCAAAATCTAAAGCCTGGTGGCTAAGGAGACATTGCCAGAAAAAAGAGGGGGGGGGCGGGGGGAAAGCCACGGCATGATTTTTTTCAGGATCCGATGCCAAGAGAAGATTTTGCCTTTCTCGGGGATGAAAAAAAAAAAAGAAAGCCATCTCTTAAAACACATTTTAAGCATCCAGAAACCTTTTAGAAAAGCGACTTCGGTTGGGGAATTTAATAGATGCTATTGAAAAATGAAGCGACTGGTGCACAACGAGCCTGCGAGGAGGGGCTTGCCATCCAGGGATGGAGGAAAACAGTGCCGTCAAAAGAGCAGGGCTCCGGCTGCACTTTTTCTTTTGAAGGAAGATCAAAAACCCACCTCTGGCCTTCCCTTGCAACGCCAGTAACTCCCCCCTCCCCCCTCCTCAACCTGGAACGATTTTTGTACAGATTTTTAATTTTTTTATTTAGCCTGGTTACCTTTTACTTGAAATAACTTCTTTGTGTGCTAGGTTTTTAATGTGCTGCTTTTTTTAAAAAAAAACAAAACGAAACGAAGAACCACAGAACTGGGGGTGCCTTCCTAAGCTTCGCGCTGTTTGATCTAGCAAAACCCTGAGTCCTTGGGTTTAGACCGCTACGTTTTCTCTCTCTACCTTTTTAGCCAAAGTGAGATCCTCACCTCTGCTGGCCTTGAACCCGGAGCAGGAAAAAAAACGTCATGCAATAACGTCTTGTTTTATGCTGAACTTCCCGCTCAGTGAGTTTTGATGCCTGCAGTGGATGGGGAGGGGGGACACCAAATTAACTTAGGTGGACTCAATCTGGTGAGCACTGGTGGCGATGAACCCCTGCTTAGAAAGCTGCTCCAAGCTTGTATATATAAAGTAGTAGTGCCTAGTGACGCTCAATGAACTGTTCACACAAAGTGCTTATCCAAGTCAGTTGCAAAGCGAGGATTTGCACAATGGGCCAAGCCTTTTTTAAAATTAGCTTTAACCTTAATGCTGTCAGGAAAGTGTGGTTTATTGCAAGGGTGGATCATCAGGTGCCCTCCAGAAGTTTTGGACTTCAACTGCACTGAATTCAGGGATCTTTGGTGTTCTCTCAGTTTGGTGGGTTTTTTTGCAGACGTTTCATGACCAGACTAGGTAACGTCATCAGTGCTAGAAGGGAATGGGGGTGTGTGGAGAGGAGGAGCACTGTGGAGTCCTTGGTGCTCTCTCAGCTGGGTTGTTTTCCGCAGGTATTTTGCTACCAGACTAGGTAACGTTATTAATGCTAGAAAGGGACGAGAGCAAACCTCACTCCTCCTAGCACTGATGATGTTACCTAGCTGGGTCATGAAACGTCTGCAACAAAACCACCAAACTCGGAGAGCACCAAGGACCCCCTCATTTCAACCCTGATATTCTCCTGTATTGGCACCCAACTCAGGTGGGCAAAGGGTTGTGGGCATCACAGCCAGAGCCGTTGTAGAGACGCCTCAAGGACATCACACGTATTGTATTGTCCTTGTGTAACTGGTACACCTGCTGCCCTTGATTCTATCTATACCCACAGTTGTAGTCCCAAACATCTGGAAGTTACCATGGTACTTTCTTTCTGACCAACATGCATTGCACTTTTTTAAAACCTGGATTGAATGTATTATAAGGGGGTGGAGCAATGAGTGTTCCTTTCCCACCTGATCACAGATCTCAAAAAATCTGGCTTGAAACTAGATGCAAACTTGGATTTAGCTGACAATTGCAAAGCAATTTTGCTGAATCTGGTGACTGGGGGATCTCTGATGCACACATCATCCTTGGTTTGAACCCGGGGCTAGCTCTAATACAGATATATTCTATAATAATGTAATATATAAGGGCAGCTGGGCTCCTTCTACAGTACTAACACCATGTGAATGTGTGTAGTGATGGTTGCTGCATTGTCCTTTGGTAGTTCTGCAACTGATACTGTTCCTTTTTTTCTTGCCTTGCATCTAATTTTCGCAATATATGGAATTACGGGAAAAGGGGAACGCCTTAGAATTCTGCGTAGAGCTTGTCTAGTTGTGGGCACGCTAGAAACTTAAGATAGTAGCTTATTTTCCCCTTTTTTTTCTTTTGGCTTTATTATCAGGGATCTTGATAGCAATCAAGGGAGACTGAGGCAGCCCTCTTTCTCCGCTCCTCTACCTCAGTCCTGTTAAATGTGAACGCTTTTAAAAGTTTGTGCCCTCACTCATGCCGATCCACTTAGCTTGGAATAAAAGTGAGTTTTTGAGTGAAAAATCTGTATTCAGAAAGAAAGCACAGATTAGTCCAAAGAGGCAGCCAAATTATATTGAGCCAGCCTTTAAACTATGAGCATGCCTATTTTTGTTTTACTAAATGTCTTGTTTGGAAGAAAGAAAAGAAAAGAAAAGAAAAGAAAGAAAGAAAGAAAGAAAGAAAGAAGGAAAGAGAATCACTTCTATCTAAAAACTATAATTCCCATACCATTTGTCTTAGCCATAAGGAATATAATTCCCATACCAATTGTCTTAGCCATAAGGAAGAAAGAAAGAGAATCACTTCTAAAGAAAAAACTATAATTCCCATGCCTACTATCTTAACATAAGGAAGGAAGGAAGGAAGGAAGGAAGGAAGGAAGGAAGGAAGGAAGGAAGGGAAAGAAAGAATGTTCCAAACAAAAACTTTTAATTCCCACATGTACTATAATTCCCATACCTACTTTCTTGGCATTAGTCATTAGGAAAGAGACTTCTAAAGAAAAAACTATAATTCCCAGTCCTACCTTCTTAGCATTAGTCATCAAGAAAGAGACTTCTAATGAAAAACTATAATTCTCAAACCTACCTTCTTAGCATTAGTTATCAAGAAAGAAAGAGATTTCTAATGAAAAACTATAATTCCCAAATCTACTTTCTTAGCATTAATCATCAAGAAACAGAAAGAATCACATCTATCTAAAAACTATAATTCCCATTCCTATTGTCTTAGCATAAGAAAGGAAGGAAGAGAAAGAAAGAATGTTCCAAACAAAAACTCTTAATTCCCACATGTACTATAATTCCCATACCTACTTTCTTAGCATTAATCATCAGGAAAGAGACTTCTAAAGAAAAACCTATAATTCCCATACCTACCTTCTTAGCATGAGTCATCAGGAAAGAGATTTCTAATGAAAAACTATAATTCCCAAACTACCTTCTTAGCATTAATCATCAAGAAAGAGACTTCGAACGAAAAACTGTAAGTCCCACACCTACTTTCTTAGCTTTAGTCATCAAGAAACAAAGAGAAAGAATCACATCTATCTAAAAACTATAATTCCCACGCCTAGTGTCTTAGGATACGAAAGGAAAGAAGGGAAGAAAGAAAGAAAGAAAGAAAGAAAGAAAGAAAGAAAGAAAGAAAGAAAGAAAGAACACTTCTAAACAAAACTATAATTCCCGTGACTGCTTACAGATGGCTCTTTTTCACCCCAGGGAATTGAGCAGTTTTTCTCCGTTTTCAATCCCAGTCTTTGTCCTCTCCCTTCTCTCAGTTTCCTGGGTTCCAACATCACCTCTACTCCGACTTTCCGCTGAGACACCACTCTAGTTCCCTTCAAAGCGTCTGTCTTCGACAGCGTCACCCAGTTTTGGCGACGGCCTCTTTCTCTTCCTCTTTCCTCGGATCTAGGTGATGCTTTGCTGCTTTATCCTGCTGGTGCTGGATGCAAGTAGTCCTCAACATTGGCCGTTCTGATTTATAACTAACCCCGGATCCGAAGTTCCGATGGTCCCTCCCCCAACCCTGCAGTCGCACGACTGCACTTCGAGCCCTATTTACATCCGTTTGTAGTGTCCTGCAGTTACGCGACTGCATTTTATGACGATTTTTGCCCAAGCCTGGCACTTATTTTCGGTTTTTGGCAAAACCATGCCCTAGTGAACGGGCTTGCTTAACAATTGCCACGTTCCTTTAATGACTACCACAAAGACGGGGAGGCTCCCATTACGGTCGTAACTCGAGAACTGCCTATAAATTCTGCCACGGGCACAGTGAAGCAGCATCGCCCTTCAGATGGGTCCATTCGAACGTTTCCAGATCAATCTTTGGAGCTTCCCCCCCCCCCCAGAATTTAGTCCTGGAGGACCACTTGGCACCCCCCCCCCCAAATGTCTTGCCCTTTGTCTGGCCAGATGACCCCAAGTTCTGATTAGTGTCCTCATTAAATATGGCTGACATTTCGCCATGTCTCATTGGACCAGTCTTGGGGGCTGGCAGAGTTATAAGAGGCTTTTTCTAGAACCGGGGGGGGGGGTTTCCAACCTTGGTACCTTTAAGACTGGTGGACTTCAACTCCCAGAATTCCCTAGCTGGCACTCACTTTTTCACTTAGCGACTGCTTTGCTTAACAACGGAATAGCCGGTCCCTAAATGAGAACTATATGTTAATGTCCCCATCGGCTGGCAAAGTTTAACTGTTCCACTTGGCAAATTCAAGAAATGTCTAGTTCAGTGGTTCTCAACCTTTCTAATGCCGTGACCCCATAATACAGTTCCCCATGTTGTGGTGACCCCCAACCACTTATACATCACCGGATGCCAGAGGCATGGCCAAAGAAAAGGGGGGAAAATGGCGGACAGCCTTGTTTGGCGACCCCCGTGAAATGGTCGTTCGACCCCAAATGGGGTCCCGACCCACAGGTTGAGAACCACTGGTCTAGTTGGTAGCCACTGAGCCTTGCCCACGTGCCACTGAATTTAATGGGGAGCGTGGAAGGAAGAGTTTTAAAGAGGAAAAAGTAGTTTTCATTGTTAAATGGCCAAAGCTAGAATGCATTTTATTTCTGTAAGCTCATCTCTCCGAATGAGTTGGGCAGCCATATATTTGTCGGAAATGGTGTAGGGTTTCCTGCCCGAGCAGGGGGTTGGACTAGATGACCTCCAAGGTCCCTTCCAACTTTACTACTATTATTATTATTAATATATTTTCTTAATAAATAAATGCATCAATATAAATTGGATGTTGAAAAGTGCAGGAAAATCACATTTAATCTTGGAGACCAGGGCCTGCAATGAATCCGTACCCCCTGTACTGTTCACCCACTTAAGATATCAGAGCTATATTTCTTTAAAGAAAATATTCCATGTGGGAGTATCAAATATACTTCTTACCAGGGCATTCGTGGGGGGTGGCGAGGTCAAAAAAGTCAAGATGGTGCCTCCAGCCATGCAGATCCTTTTTTATACAGTGTGGAGTTGGCATCTCGATTTATTTTGATGGCAAATTTTAATGACAGGTAGACCTTGACCTATGATCGTAATGGAGTCTGCCCATGAAGGTTGTATGTCAGGTCAGTCACGTGACTGATCTGATGTTTGACCATTTTTTTCCACTGGTCATTAAGCGAACACCTCAGTTGTTAAGTGAATCCATTGATTGCTAGGGAGCGGTTTTGCCGAAAACCAGAAATAACATCCGGTTTTCAGCAAAGGGTGGTCATGTGTCCGTGGGATGCTACAAATGACATACATGCCATCATATTGGTGGGTGCCTGAAATGCAGTCACATGACCATGGGGGGGCGTGGCCATCAGAACTTTGGAACCCGGTTATAACTCTTTGTTACTTATGACCATAAGTTGAGAACTAGCGTATTTTGTGGCTATTTCTCCTTAAAATAAAAAAAATACAATAAAGATATTTCTGAAACTATTTTAGCATGATGGCATTGATTTTAAATCCCAGGGGAAAAGCGATAGGAAAGCCTGATTTAAGTGCCATTATAAGAACTGGATCTCTTTGTTTGCCGTGATCTGTTGGTCCTGTCCTGCTGAATTTGATCTAAAACACTGTTTGAAATGGATTGGAACATTTCCAGGTTGTTTGTGCCCTTTTTGTATGTTAAAAGAAAGATTTTAAAAGGCTATCTTTAATTAGTGAATTCTATAGTATTTGTTTACTGGAGTCTATTTTTATGATGTATTGTAATCTTTTTAAAAACACACACACACACAAAATCAATGGATTTGCATGTAAATTGCCTCCTCTTGAACTTTTTGGAGAGATTTGATATCTGTAAATTATGGCTTTTTAGTCCTCTGGATTATTTTTTTAATGATAAGAGTCTTCAAAATATCTGCTGTTTATAGATATATCAACATTCCTCTTTAATCAAATGTGACACTGGTTGTACTGTACCAAATAAAATTCTTTCTGACTCTGAATTCTGATTGCATTAGTATGTGTGTTTTTATGTGAGACCACATGATTGGACCCAATTTTACAACCATTTTTAAGCGTTAAGCGAATCATGTAGGAATAAGTCAAAATCACACAGTCATTAAGCATATCACACGGTCGTAAATCTGAATCCATTCCCCTGAATGGATGTTTTAGGAAACCAGCTGAAATGTCGCAAATTGTGATAATTTAATCATAAATAAGTGCCAAAAATATGATTGTGTGACTGTTTCTTGTTCTTCCTCCATCTTTAAATTTAACAGGAATCTATAGAGTTTCTTGATCAACTTTTCATTTGTTTTTAACAGTATCTGATCAAAGTCTGTCTGTTCTTTATAAAATCCCGTTTTAACATCTTTTTCATATCTCGTTTGAATTTGCAGATAGGGCCACCATGCTAAATCAATACCTCGTTCTTGTAATTCTTGTCTGTCTTTCAATTTTCCTTCATTGTTCAAAATATCTTTATAAGTCACAACTTTATCGTAGTTAATTACATTTGGGTAAGCAAAAGCTTCCATTGTGGAAAGCCATTCAGGTATCTTAATATAAATGCTTTCTGAGGCATCATTAACTCCAAACAGTCGTAAGCCGAGGACTACATATATACTGCTCCAGGACTGTAAGATAGTTCACTATGCCCAAAACACACTGAAGGTTTTAGTAACACACAAGGGAGGGCCAGGAACTGGATGGCAATTAAAATCATAATCCATTGTGTATCATTAACGATAGATGGTTTGAACCCCAGCTATATATATAGCCACTCCTTGAGTTAACAACAGTCCGTTTAGTGACTGAAGCTACAACTGATAATATAACCGATAATTTCCCCAAAGGATGAAGCCCATCATATCTTTGAGTTTTAATTGGATGCACAAATCCTTTTCTCTTTTTTCCTTCCTTCTTAAGCCATCTACAACAGTGGTTCTCAACCTGTGGGTCGGGACCCCATTTGGGGTCGAACAACCATTTCACGGGGGTCGCCAAACAACGCAGTCCGCCATTTTTTTCCCCCTTTTCCTTAGCTGTGCTACTCCCTTTTATTCTATTGGCTTTTGAAAGCCAATAGAATAGACTCTCTTGAATAGAGTCTAATTCTATTGGCTTTCAAAAGCCAATAGGAATTGTCCAGGCTGTCTCTGCCCTGCTGAGCCCGCCAAAAGTCCCATTCTGCAAACGGTACTGCACCAGTTGAGTAGTCTTTGACTTACGACTGGTTGAGTAGTTCTTGACTTACGACCAGTTGGGGGTCGCGGCATTAAAAAGGTTGAGAACCACTGATCTAGAATTATTTAGCCATTGGGCAGCCTTATAAATTTATTCAGCAAATGCATAGATCAGAGAACCCCAACTTTTGGGGCATCAGGACCAGTTACGTGGAGAGAGGCTTTCCCACCGGACCAGAGGGTCCG